TCCGCAACACTTTTCGCATATGCATGTTCCCCTTCGGAGAGAAAAGCCTTTCCTCTTCATAAAGCTAGTTAGCCAGCACCTGCTCGCTTTAAACTGGCTCCGCATTAGACCTTTTTCTAAGACTAATTGCATAGCCCGCACTTGGAGCAGTTCCGTCATCACGGGCCGCTGAGCCGCTCGCTGCTCAAGCACATACTCTCCGAGCAGCTCTTTAATTTGCGGAAACCGACCCTGCTGTGGTCCACTGAAGCCTTTGCGTGAAGCTTTGCTGTCGACAATCTTCTGCTTTTGTTTCCGCCGGTCCCGCACGCACGTTTCAGGAACTCCGAACAACTGCGATGCGGCCCGATTTCCGTCCGTTTCTGCACACGCGAGGATTTTTCTTTTAAAAGCGGCATCGTGGTGCGCTCGAGTTTTTGGAGTCGGCCTTTCCACGCCGTCGATGCTAATGCACTACTAGATGACGAACTCCTCAGCACACGTACGAAGTGCCGCACATGGGAAACACATAGGCTGAAATGGCCGACGCGCCATGCCGACGCACGTAGGGGGCAGCCATTTTGAATTTGCCGATGGCAATAAATTGACCGTAATTTTTTTTGTTCGTACTCGATTCTAACGCGCATGCGATTTATGAACTCGCTTAACCGGAAAAAAGGTGCGCGTTAGATTCGAGTAATTACGGTATGTAGAAATATTATTACTAATAAAAATAAATCTATTACCAAACGGCACTTCCCGCTTCTCTGGTGAACTCTGTAACAGTTTGTTTTAGATCACACATACTCATAATATCCACAAGAGGGTTTATGTCCACATCGAAAAAGGAAACGGGGTCACGCCAATCAGTGCACGGAATATTAAAATCACCGGCAAGTATCACCCTGTTGTTCGAAAACTGAGCCATATGATCGCACAGTTTGGAAATGTATTCAGGGGAAGCCGATGGAGGCCTATACACAGCACACACGATAAAGACATGGCCCCAGAAGTTTACTCTGAGGAACAAACTTTCATGACCATCGATTTGGTTTATAACAACACCTGTCATAGGATGTCGTAAAACAATGGCTACGCCGCCGCCCCTACTTGGCCCATCACAACGAAAAATGCTATAGTTTGGCGGTATTAAAACGGAATCACAAACGTTGTCATTTAACCAGGTTTCCGCGATTACTGTTATGTGTGGATCATGTTGAAGAAGCAACAGTTCAAGTTCCCCAATTTTATTTACAAGGCTCCGAGCATTAAACTTTAGTATCCTTATATATTTTGCCTCTGCACGCGTTGCACGTCAACGAGTGGCATCCAGCTGCTTTCGAAGTGCTACACGTTCATTTCTGGTATCGTCTTATATAAAGATGGTGTCACCAATTTTCAACTTTCAACAAAAAGTGTCAGTAATTTTCACAATTTTCAACAAAAGAGATACGCGCTTCTTATTCACTCGGTCAACTTTGGCGCTATCCCAAAGAAGCTTGCGCACGCGCAGTGTTTCATTACTGTAGTCATTTTGAATGAAAATGTTTGTCCCTTTAAGTTTGTTTGTATTTTGAATGACAGCCTGCTTTTCATTAAAATCTTGAAAATAGGCTATTACTGGGCGTCGGCCGGCGCGGCGGCCAAGGCGGTGAATACGGGCTATAGACTCGCATTTAACTCCAAGTTTTTTCCTCAAAAATGTCTCCAACAACACTTTTTCTTAATGATGCCTCGTTTTCCCCGCTATTTTCCAAAATGCCATAAACGATTATGTTTGACCTTCGACTGCGATCTTCAAGGTCAACAAGTTTTCTGCTTTGCAAGGTCACTGAATTTTGAAGGGATAATGACGATTGAAGCGCTGTAATTAGCGGCAAGCTTTCCTTTGATTCTTTCATATTGCTCTAGTGATTTTAAACGTGAGTCAAGATCACGAATGAGCTGCACACACTCGCTAAACCTATTTTTCATTTCAGTAACCTCGGCGTGAATATCGGCCTGTCCCTTTAGTACATTCTGTAAAATATCAGCTGTGGAGGGACCCGGGTTGCTTTCAACATCGTCACCACAAATCAAAATTCCAAGAGCTACGTAACAGTCATAGGCAATACAAGCGCCTGGGCACGGCAAAACCAAAAAAACAACTCATCTCCACTCCTAATTGTAGAGAATGAACAACTAACCTGCACAGCGAGAACAAACTTCTTGGTTAGCGGCATGGTCGCAGCCGTTTCGCCTTGCCCACTGGTGAAGTAGTTCTGTGGTAGTGCTTTTATACTGTCCATGGTGCATGACGTCACTGACATGCGCAGATCCTGAAGAGGGGTGTCCAACATGCCTGGCGTGAATGTTGATCTTGATTGCTGCCATGTCTGAGCTTGCGTTGGTCGCACTGGGTCCAAGGCACACGTTGCACGAAGTTGGTACGCCAGCGATCGCTAACAGGAAAACCTGCACAGCGAGAACAAACTTCTTGATTAGCGGCATGGTCGCAGCCGTTTCGCCGTGCCCACTGGTGAAGTAGTTCTGTGGTAGTGCTTTTATACTGTCCATGGTGCATGACGTCACTGACATGCGCAGATCCTGAAGAGGGGTGTCCAACATGCCTGGCATGAATGTTGATCTTGATCGCTGCCGTGTGTCTGAGCTTGCGTTGGTCGCACTGGGTCCAAGGCACACGTTGCACGAAGTTGGTACGCCGGCGATCGCTAACAGGAAAACCTGCACAGCGAGAACAAACTTCTTGGTTAGCGGCATGGTCGCAGCTGTTTCGCCGTGCCCCACACTACTTTTAAAACAAAACTACTGTTTACGTAGGTGCGGTTTAATGAGGTTTCACTGTATTACTGGCCTAGACTCCCCGCTGCCGTGAAGCATCATGTTCGGACCTGCCTCGACTGCCAACGGCGCAAGTCACCTCCGACGAAACCAGCCGGTTTGCTACACCCTGTCCAGATCCCAACAATGCCATTTGACCAGATCGGAATGGACCTTTCGGGCCTACTTCCCACCTCCAGTGTTGGTAACCACAGGGTTATAGTGGCGACCGACTACCTTACTCGCTACGCAGAGACAAAAGCCATCCAGAGAGGCACAGCAGAAGAGGTGGCCCTGTTCTTCATAGAGAACATTGTGCTGAAACACTGTGCGCCATCGATCGTTGTAACAGATCGCGGAACCGCATTCACAGCCGTGCTTTTAGATCATGTGTTAGTGCTCAGCGGTACTATTCATCGTAAGTCGACAGCAGATTACCATCCACAAACTAACGGGTTGAGCGAGCGACTCAAGAAAACTCTGGAAGACATGCTTTCAATGTATGTGGACATCGAACCCAAAAACTGTGACGAGATTCTCTCTTACATAACGTTTGCATACAATACTGCTAAACAAGAAACCACACGGATGACCCCATTCAGCCTTGTTCACGGACGAGAAGTAAGGACGATGTTGGACGCGATGCTGCCACACGAACGGGATGACAATGAAACGAGTGCCGACGCGTTTACTCAATGCGCAGAGGAAGCCAGGCAGCACGCTTGTCTGCAAATATACCAACAGCAAGAGTACAACACAGGTCGCTATAGCCTACGTCGTACACCTATAACGAACGAAACCAGGGACAGGGTATAGTTGTGGACGCCTGTACCATGATGGGAACTATCCGAAAAGTTTCCCAGAAGATACTTCGGACCTTATCGAGTGCTGCAACGACTAAGTGACGTTACCTATGAAGTCGTCCCGAATAGCCCAAAACTGAACAAGGCGTCGCCAGCACTGACCTGAACTTGTGCACGTAGTGCGCATTAAGCCATACATCTGCGAGGCACCGTCGCTTGTACAAAGTGACTTTATGCGCGAATCACTGGCTCAGTTATGGCATCGGGGTGATGCTCTTTTAAAGGGAGGCAAATTCTCCGCTCGAAACAGAGAACGAAGACTATGTGCGCGCCAGCAGTCTCGTGAAAAGAGACACTGAAGAAGACGACGTGCTTTTGTTTAGGTCTCTTGCTTTTGGCTCCTGCATAAAAACGCACGCCGTCGGTTCTCGGACTTAACGTCTTCGTGATCTGCTCACGTTGAACCGCAACACTATTATCCTACGAGTGTGTAATATGTTTTGTTGTGTGAATTGAAGTGTGTGTTTGTGTCACATTGTGTTTCCTTCTTGTGTCAATGCCGCGGACTCCAGCGAGACGCGCCGGGTGCTATCAACATTGAGACAGTGTTACAAATTTTCATATTTTTATAAATGCCAATCAACTCAAAAGTCAAGTCCTAGTGATAAAAAAACTCACAGAAACTAATACATCTGCTTCAGTTTAAATAGCAGAAACTTTGGAAGAAAATGATGCATAAATTATGTGAATATCCCTTCCATTCAACAAGAAAACGGTACCTCATAATGACCGAAGACGCATGGGATGTATAGGGCCTACCCGGTGCTCTTGAGGACATGAATCTAAAGCTAATAAATGTGCTAATTCATAACTAACGAGCTACAGAGTGCATGAAGGTGACTTGATAGATTCTAGGTTGATGACAACTACTTTTGGCGGTGCGGCCATGTTTTTTGGGGCGTGGCCAATCGATCAGCTTTTTCACACTGCACGGCTGCTAGCAGAATTTAGAAAACAGATGCACATCTCTGCTACTTAAAGGTACAAATATATTATCTGCAGTTTTGTTTACAAATGAGCTCTCTCTTTACTTTCACTCGCTTGATTCCGTACGCCAGCTTACCTCAATATACTGTGTTATATTTTTTCCCCTGATTTCTCCCCCCCTTAACCGATCATAATTTTATCACTTGCCTTCACCTCACATTCTGTTTTGGGAGAGAGTGTATGAAGCATACACAAAAATGCACTAAGGGATGCAGTTGCTGCTTTGAAGAAAAGACCACTTGTTAAAACAATTGCTCTAGGGATGTTCAAAATTTTTCATCTCTTGAAGCTTCTATCTTTCCCTGAACTGCCTCGCATCACTGACTTGTTACAGATAGGTACGTCAGTCACCTCCGCTTCAGAGTCACTGCTGGGCTGGGCTGGCACTGGTCCGGCCATGGGCAGCATTTGGGCTCCTATTTTGGCCATGCGCGACAGTAGCCGTGCTTTGTCGCTCTCACCACTGCCGACTGCTGCTAGAGCTGTGGCTGAAGTTGTGGCTGGCTGCTGCTGCGGTGGCCAGTCCAGGGGAGCAGAAGGTGCTCTAGAACGGGCCGGTTCATCCACACTGCTGCTTTAAAAAAAGAAAAGAAAAGACTGGCAAAAGGATCACTAGCCTCAAATTCTGTTAATAAAAGCTGCCAAATAGCAAAGCAACGGCATGAAAAATGAGAAGCCATGTCACAAATGCTCCCTTTGTTATGTCAAATACCTAGTACAGTAGAACCCCGCTGTTGCGTTCCCATGTGCTGCGTTTTCCTGGCTGTTACGTCGTTTTCGGCCGGTCCCGGCACAGCTCCCATAGGATCCAATGCATTGGGAACCCCGCTGCTGCGTCGCAACTGTGGGACCGTTCCCGCATCATACGTTGCGAAGTGCCAAGACGCGCCGGCCTGACTGAGCGACCATGTTGTCTTTCATGTAGCTTGGCTTGGCAGCTTGACGGTGGGATTGGCCGCTCAAAGTGCCGGGGGCAACACCTATGACATATTTTCGGTTCATGCCATCAAAAGCATGACCTTTGAGATCCGTATTTGCACTCTAAGAATGTGTCTATGACGCGTTGGGGCCCTAAAATTGGTTTTGCCATCTGTAAAAGTAAGGTCTCCGAGACCTGTTTTTGTTTTCTTGGGATGTCACGCTGGCTTAAACTTATCGCCACCGGTCACGCAGGCGGCCTGATTCAAAGGGTATAGCCCGATCGCCATCACCATAGCCCATGTGTGCCAGTGCTACCCGTGCTTGCTGCGGTCTTCTCACATTGCCTTTGTTTCGTGTCGGTCGTTGCGCAGGTTATAGCTGTTGGAGATGGTGCGTTCACAGACTGCGACAAACTGAACACTGCCATGGAGACTTTTGGTGCCAGTGGAATCGCGTACAGTGACTACGCTTCTGTTGACGACGCCGTTGTCACCTCCACGATGTTATCCGCCGACGACATCGTGGCCGAGTGCGTCGATCCGTGCGCCAGTGACGAGGAAGTTGAGGAGGAGGTGGAGCGGATACCAGAGCCAACGTTCTCATCGGCTGTAGTGGCACTGGATTTATTGCGAAGATATGTGCGCACCAGTGACGATGGCGAGAGCCACATGGCACTACAGGTACTTGAAAAACGCCTTGTGCTTGTCGGGCGTGAGAAGATGCGCCAGGCAACGCTGCATGATTTTTTCAAGTGAAAGAATTAAAATAAAACTATGTGCAGTTCACCACTACTCTTATTTCTCAATTTTTCACGTTTCCCGGCTCCTACGTTGTTTTTTTTATGGTCCCGTGAAAAACGTATCAGCGGGGTTCTACTGTAATTGACAGAAAAGTGAATAGGAGCACAAAGCAAAAATATCTTAGCACAGAATTGGTCTGAATACTTTTTCCCTTTGTTACTACTACGGGCTACACAGAGAAGGATCATTTAAGTTCAGTCCCTCTTGCATGGGCAACTGAGTAAGTTTAATTTACAGTATGGTAGGCTAAGAATAAAACAGCGTGAAAGACTGGATGAGAAGAGGGCACGTGCGGCGCTTAACTAACAACAAATGTTCATTGCAAAAACAAGTGCTATATATAGGACACAGGTATCTGTGCGGAAAACACAAAACATAAGCGGAAATGCACATACACGTGATAAAGACCATACAGCAAACATTATCAAGAAACTGTCACATCAGTAGACCCCAGATATCTAAATTCCTAGCCATGAAGCAAAATTGAGGGTACACTAACACAAGAAACATTGTGCTGTTCAATGTACAATGCTTTGCTAATATAGTGCTCGTGCTGCTCGCTATAGTGCCCCATGACCACACAATTATCATGAATTGGCTGACCACCAGTTTTCACAGTGGTCAGCCAAATTGCTGGGGACAGAGTCTCTCGGAGAGTAAGCGTGCCTTTCAACCAATCACTTATGCATCGGTCTGTTTGGCTGATGTAATAGCACCCGCAAGTGAATAGTATCTTTTAAATAGTCGCTAAAACACACGGGCGAAACACTGTGGGCGCTGCTATATTTGTGGACACCTGTAAGCGGTGTTACATTGGCCAAACAGGCCGATGCAGGAATGATAGGTTCAGAGAGCACGCTTACTTTCTGAAAGGCCCTGCCTCCAGCCACTAGGCTAGAGGCAGGGCCTTTCACTGTGAAAATTGTGGTCGTGGGACAATTGTTGATAATTGTGTGATCATGGGGTGCTATAACGAGCAGCGTGAACCCAAGATTAGGAAAGCATTCCTCATTGAACGACACAATGTTTTTTATGTTAGTGTACCCTCAATTTCGCTTCATGGCTGCGAATTTAGATATCTCGGGTCCACTGATGTAACTGGGTGTTGATAATGTTTGCCTTAGTTATGTTTGTCTTTATCACAAGTATGTGCATTTATAGCTTTGTGCGAATATTCAAATTTTTCAAATATTCAAACGAATAGTATGGTATTTGAATTCGCTTTGATTCAAATTTAAATTATTAGAAATTTCAAAGTATTCGCAATGAACGAATGAAGGTACATTATTCGGCATTTAACTACCTGTAAAGGTGGTTTAACTGCAGTGTAGGAGTGCTAAGCCGTGAAAGCACCTAAGAGAATTGGCTCTGCCGCAAAGCCCCCCTTCAAACTTATATAGAGGCACTGCAACATTTATTGGGCATAGTCAGACAATGCTGCCGATCGATAGTCTATCGAGAACACGTGAGCCATATATTATAGCGCAGTACGTGGCCTGCAATTCACAATAAATTCTGGAAGTCAGCTGAAAATTGCTGTCTTCTCTCTGCAAATGACGCCACGTGCTCAAAAACCACTCTTGCAAGGCCCGCTGTCAGCCATGGGGCGATTTGAGCATGGCGCACTTGGTCGTTACTGGGACCGCCGCGGGAGGCCGCCACTTGTCCATGCATACGTTCCAAATCGCACTGAAAAGTCGCGCATCTTAAGGGGAAAAAGTTCTCAAGGTCATGAGGTGCCCATGATTTGATTTTTTTCCTCTGTGCCATTTCTTCCTGCTTAACTTCTAGCGCTTTCCTCGGGACGAGAAGAGAAAATGCAATTACAGCGTGCAACAAAACTTTGCGACTCCGCTCATACTGGACGGATTCTTAAAATTTTTGCGGCATTGAATTCGTGAGCCAATAAGCTCTTCTAATGAATTCAAAGTCGACCCTCATTACTTCGAACTCAAAGGGACCTCTGAATTTTGCTTGAATTACCAAGAAGTTTGAATTATCAGGAGTTCTCAAATATATGACTATGTGTGAGATCACAAGACACATTATTAGGCATTGATTTTATTGCTTTACAAAATTTTTTAGGCGTTTTAAACACTAACTGCATGGAATAAACAAAAAGCACAGGTGTAAGGTCCACAAGTTTATTGGCCATTTACTGTATTTACGCACGTAATGAACGCACTCGCCAATAAGCTCTTCTAATGAATTTATTCCAGGGTTACTTGAAAAAGTGTTTCAGGGCCCCCTCAACGCATTTTGTTCGACACGTGTCACGATGAAAACTAGCCCATTCAGCGATAACAGTGCACGCTGGTCCAATCTACTGCGTGCGTGTTTGTGTGCATGCGTGTGCATGTAACAAAACATATTAATAAGTATGCACTTAGCGGTTGAAGGGTGCACTAGGAGCCGTATTTCGCTATCGCATTCAACTCTTAAAGGCGAAGCTTAAGGGTCCCCCAATTTTTATTCTTCGTCTACCATGCAGCACCAACCAGCCCAATAAAGCACACTGTTAAAGCTAATTCACAGTAGTATGCATTTCTTATGCACACCGTAAAAATAAAAAATGCCCAAGAACTGTTTCTTCATCTGTGCCCACTTTTGGCCCAGCCAAGCATCGCTGCTTATTTGTCCTTGCGTAGTCTGAGAGTATGTGCACGAATAAGTGTTGCCGAGTGAATGTTCTGCTATACCAGCTTACACATTACAAATGTGCTTTTGCATCATGAGACTGCCACTTTCCAGACAGGAAAGCTATGGCTGAAGTGAGTCCGCCCATAGCCTGCTCAGATCTGAGAGTAACAGCGTCCCAGTGGCACATCCTGGCAGACACCCGTTCTTTGATGGCTCCGCTTGCTGCTGCTGAATGTAAGCTCGTGTACAATCTGGCAAAGTTTTCTTGACATCTAAGATTCTGACAAAGTGCACCTGCTGTTAGAGTTCAGCAATCTAAGTGCTTTCAGTCGGCATTCATTCAAGAAACAATATAACTTTTAGACTGCTTTACTTACAGCGAAGCTGTTAAGAGGGCTACAAGAACTTTCGTACGACATGTGGCAGAATGCTTGGCATCAAAGAGGAAGCAGCAACACATCTGGCTGGCACCAGAGCACAGATTTCGCTTAGTTACATGCATCTTCAATGCAGTGAGAGGGAGAGAAAGCACCCTTTCTGGACTGTTGCACAGGAGCAGAAAGGCTGACATCACAGCCTTCACAGCATTTTATTTTAATTCCATGCATATTTAAAACCCTCGAGAGGAGATTATGGCGGCACCCACGGAGCTTTTATAGAAAAGTTGCATGGACAAGATGCCTTACATACACATCACTTGAATATACAGCTTCATTGCATGTTTACCCAAGCCACTAATTCATTATTTGTTTCTCAAGTCACGATTAGGTAGCTGCATGTTACATGTCAGCAAGGAAGCGTTCCAAATGATAAACGATTTCTATGTATCATGTCTGGATCTTTTAGTTACAATGAAGATGGCGATGTGGCAAAGCATCTGCACTTGAATGTACTTCCAGTGCTTAAGGGGAGATGCTACTCGAAGACACTTTTTCTTTAATATTCACCCTAGAGAAATGAAGCTAGAGCTGCGTATAGAACTTTGTAGGCAGGTTTCATATATATATTTCATTGTCTTGCAAGTTGCATACTTTTAGTTCCGGAACATCTCAAAGTGAAAACCTTAAGCCTTTTGACCCCCTCTTTCTATCCCTAAACTCCCATAATTTTTTACTATTTATAGTTGATAACGTTTCAAATAAAGTTTAGAATGCAGAAAACTAATTAAGAAGTGCATACAGAATATGTAATAGCCGTGAAAAATTCTAACGTGGAAAATTCATATTTCTCCTACCATAGTAAAGGCTAACAGAGAATTTTTCGATTATATATTAAAAATATTGAAACAAACAAAACAATAGCATTTCTCATACTTTGGAAAAATTTGGGCGAAATTTCATGCAGATCTTAGCACCAGAAGTACCCAAAAAAAGGAAGGCACATTGAAAAAAAAAAAAAAAGGCATAGATTGTGTATAAAGAAAAACAAGTCTTAAAGTTAAAATTGAATGTTTATTTAAGAAATATGTCAATAAATTCAATGAAATTCGCACACACAAAAAAAACAATCCTTCTTGTAGTGGCCCCTGCCCCTAAAATGCGCCAACACCATAAGTTTGTCCCTCATGGCTATTTTGAGCTCACTCCCCACAGACATTTCATCACAGACAGGGCCATGAAACACTTGCCAAACTTCTGCTCCATCTGCCAGAGCCTTGTGCCAACTGCAAGCTAGGCAGAAGCTCAACAGGACTTCGAAATCCAAACTAAGTCCAATGTCGAAGGACACAACAGCGCTGATGCCATTGTGGCTCATGTGGCCGCGTTTGTGCCACATACTGTCGTACATAGCGGCAATGTCGTCCCCGCTGACTTTCCTCACTGTGAGCTTCCTCCACCTCGCATGATTGGCACAGATAGCATTAATTGCCGCATCACAGACTTTCTGGCTGATGTCTGTGAATGACTTATGATGCATTGGCTTTTGCAAGCCAAGAATTGCTGCAATTCGGACCAGCTGCTCGTAGCCCATTCCTACAGAGCGCACTGCCACAACAGCTTCCCCGTTGAAAGCGTTCCTATTGCGTGAGCTACGGCTTTTTTTTCATCCATAATGGTGATAGACACACTAGAAAAGCGCTGTTCAGTTGCACTGCTTGACGAGACATGGGCCCTTCAAGCAGGCTTCACAGCACACACCGGTGCGCAGCAACCAATGGCGGTCCTCGATTCGTACCATGTGATCTAAAAGCCAGTCGCGACGCTTAAAAAACGTGGCCAGAGCGTGCTTCTTTTCATCATTTCTTTTACAGCAGTGATGCAGGAAACCATCATTATGTGAGGTGTGAGGCTTGGCTCTTCACAGCATGCGATCGACAATGGCGAGCAGCAGCACATTATCGGCGGCAAGGTGCTCGAAGACTGCACATTTTGGATTTTTCACAGCCACCTTGTGCTCTAGATGCAATTTTAAAGCGTTTGCAGTCGAGTCTCAACAGATATTTTCATTTCATTTCTATTTTTTCAGAACATTAGAGGTACTAATCTTAACAAAACAGGTAAAAATAAAAAATCAGTAATTTTTTTGAAAACACGTTTTTCTGACCCGCATCTCCTCTCGTGTGAAATAAAAAAAAGGGAAGCAGACAGGGACAATTTGAACGCTGTTCTTCAACCAAGTTCATTATACAAAACGAATAGGCTTTTATATGCAGTCAGCGTGCTCCAACAGATGCCACAACATGTCGTCTCTTTTTCTTTCCATTTCTGCATGTTTTGTTCCCCCACTTCGCTTAAGTACTGGAAATTCATCAAAGTTCGAACCAGCCCAAAAAACTGCTTTAAGTAGAGCGTCTGCCTCCAGGGAGAAAGGTATAGGGTTTGATTCCCAGTGCTGCCAGGCAACCACTGATTGTTCTAAAGGGGAAAGTGGTATCCTGACCTGGCGCTCGGAAGTTCGAGTACACTTCTTTAAGGTGGACTTCCTTGCTTCTTTGACCTTTCACTCCCCTTCACGCTCATTCCCATGACCCTGAGCCACAACCTTTCAAGAGTTGCAGGAATTAACGCCTGTCGTAACTTCAACCTGCCATCATCTCTTTTAGTTGGCTTACTAAGCCCCTCAGCATTCCAGGGGCTGCAACAAAAAGGGTTGGGGGGGCAGCTGCCCCTTCATTATTAAACCTGCCTGTTAGACTGCAATACAACTCGGAAACTTCTTTTTTTAAGTGTGGGAGAGAATAGCAGGAAAATGCAGCAGACCTTTACAAATGAGACTCTTCTAAACACTCTTGGAATTTATTTGCTGGCCCTGAAAATAGGTTTATCTGGTAAAACAAAGTACTTCAATGGCTATCACTGGCTGCAAAATATGAATGAAGCGTACAGGTTTCATTCAATGGCACATTGAGCACTCAGTGTAGCCTAGACAACAAGGCTGGTTGGTACTGCACATTTCCATGCCATTGTGAACTATGCTGATAGCACGTGACATGATAGTGTGCTTAATTATGAATGATTGATTTTCACTCCTTGCGGCATTCTATGCACAGATGCTTACTGAAATTTACCTACTCCAAGTGCTCAGGAGGCTTACAAACTCTTTTAGCTGCTCTAACACACAAACCTTGCAATTCTCAGTTTAACTGAAAATATTTCATAATATGGAAACACAAATTGTAAATAATCCCACACAAAAAAAAGAGTGCCACAAACCCATGCGAATAACTCCTTCCATCTTTCCTGTCAGCATCCTCAGCTACAACAGAAACAGGAGTGGACAATCGTGGTGTGCTGTCCTTCGTAGTGGACTTTGACTGCATTTGAACAAAAGATTGTTGACAAATCAAAGTAAGCACTCCACAGTATTAAACAAAAATAATACAGGTCTATGTCACAGCATAATGTGCACAGCAATAAGGAGCTTGAACATCAATAATTGCAAAGAGATTTTGGGCATAAAAGCACTTACATCTAGCACCAGTTAAAAATGCAGTACAATTCACTGTGAAGCTGTAGCCATAAACTATGCTACTGCTGTGTCTACATGACACAAAAGGCATGGCAAGTAAGACAAGCGATGGGAAACATGAGTGCTAATGCTGCCTTCAACTTGGCTGGTCGAGATGGGTGGAGTAAACTTTTTTGACTCTGGCCCAATATATTTGATAAATTGCAGTCCACTCTCATTAATTCAAACTCAAAGGAACCTCTGAATTTTCCTTGAATTATGAAGAAGTTTGAATTATCAGGAGTTCTCAAATATATGACTATGTGTGAGGTCACAAGACATATTATTAGGCATTGATTTTATTGCTTTACAAACTTTTTTAGGCATTTTAAACACTACCTGCACAGAATAAACAAAAAGCACAGGTGTAAGGTCCACAAGTTTATTGGCCATTTACTGTATTTACGCACGTAATGAATGCACTCGCATAATACACGCACCTCCAACTTCAGTCATCAAAATTTAGATCCCCCCCCCCCCCCGGGCGTAATAAATGCACCCCCTACACTCATCCGCTGCAGTCCCGCTAACCGGCACCTGGCGCCTTCTCACTCACTGGATCTTTTCCATTTTTAATTACTTTGCCGACCCCTCTCAACCACTTCTGCTCGCTCTCCCCCCCCCCTCTCCCGTTGCCGTGTGCCTATTGCTTTTCTTCCTATCTGTGTGCACTACCTCCAAGTCTCATCTGTGTGCCACAGCAGGGTTCACGCAAGCTGTGCGAGTGTAGAGACATCGAGTGTAGAAACATCGCAGCTGATAAGCACACAGCCAGCAAAGGTAACCAAACTGCCCGTGCCAAACCGGCGTCTGTCGCTTCTTACGCACCCTCTCCCCCTTTCTTTTTCTTTTTTAGCCTACTTTCTGTTTCTTCACTCTAACTGTCCCTTTGTTCCCCGTTCTCCCATGAGTGCACTCCAGACCCCTCTTTCTTACCTTTCCACCTTTTTTTTTTTTTTTAAAGGAAGCCAGTGCAAAGTTCTAACTCGCTGTCCACACTCGCCAACTCTGAAAACGAGACTCCGACGCCCGCAGTGCGAAGGTCGTCGATAAACTGCTCGCTTTCAGACACCTAGTCGACGACACTGTCCTCATCCAAGGCGGCCGACCCACCATTTAACACAAATCCCCGTGGCAGAAACAGTTGCACAGCGTTGTCGATGTCATCGTCTTCCACGCATCAGCGAGCATGCTGAGTGCCCCAAGCAAATCGACAGAGTACGCTTTTCCGCTGTCAAGGCACACCACAGCACGCGAAAGCAAGCGTGACTGATAGTTCACTGAGAGTGCGTATGACACCCTGGTCAATCAGTTGTAGGACACTTGTGTTCGGTGGTAAGAACTCGACGCGTACAGCTTTCAAGTTGTTTATGTGTTCGTGCGCAGCGCAGTTGTCGACAAACAACACAATTTTGCAGCCTTGTAGATCAAATTTGCGATCTAGTCTTCGCGATCTAGTCTTCTCACATAGCTTTCTAAAATCTTCTGTGTTACCCAGGCCTTTTTGTTGGCCTCGTACGAAACAGGCCGGGACTTTACACCTTTAAAGCACCCTGGAGCTTTCGACTTGCCAATGACGAGCATCGGCAGTTTTTCTGTGCCCGAGATCTTGCTACCGGTCAGTACAGTAACTCGCTCCTTACTGCGTTTAACACCATGACAAGGGTCGCCAGAAAAGGCAAGAGTCTTTTCTGGCATCAGCTTGAAAAAAAGTCCGGTCTCGTCGCAGTTTAAAGTATCGTCTGGCGAGTACTGCTGTGAATGAGACTGCAGCTTTTCAGAGCGGTAGTTTGCAACAACCCTGAAGTCAACAGCTTCAATTTCACCGCAAAGTTTTTTTAAACCGAGGTCAGAGCGCTTCTTTAAGTTTCTGAGCCAGCCGTCACTGACCTTAAATTTTTCAACGTTCATTTGAAGCGCTATTATCTCAGCTTTCTGTTTGGGGAGGCCCCCGGAGACGGGAACCTTGCTGGCCACTGTCGCCTTCAGCCATACGAGTAGGGCCTCCTCGAGCTTAGGGTAGGTACCTTGGCCGACATTTTTCAGACGACATCCAGTGGACTTTTCCGCCGCCTCCAAAATCTTCCACTTGTTCTTGATGTAGTCCGAAAGAGTCTGTTTGGAAATATGGAACCCTTTCGCAACGTCTGCCCGCGATCAGCCACTTTCAACAAGCTTGACGATGGCAGCTTCTTGGTGACATGGTGACATACTTGCCGAGTTTCATCGAAGCTCTCGAGGTTGACGATCCCTAATCCATTGTGAATAAGCGCAGTTAGCTAGCCAACACACGCTGAACACATGGCACACGCACAGGCGAACCATCAGTCGATGCATTCCTGTCAATCCAACGATCACAGCAGAGAAGAAAAAAAATTTTTTTCAGCAGCGACTGATGCAAAAATAGCCTTGATCGAGCAGTTCGAGGTAGCCACCCTAGCAGAGCTAGCGGCCACGCGCACGGCCAGCACCGGTTCGAGGCTACTGGAGAAAAAAAGTAAACAAACAGGATGGCAGCGGCACGAAAAAACGCTGGCAGTCGGCTCGACTGACGCTCTGAAAGTTCGAAATATCGAACAGCCCGTCCTCAAGTGTCCGAAATTTTGAGCTGCGAAATACATTAAACTTATAGGGTATGTCCTGGTTCCGGGTAAATGTCCGAATTATCAAGCATGTCCGAAAAATTGGGCGTCCGAAAAATCTGTCGTCGACTGCATTTTCACACAATCGTGCTCGACTGCTGACTTGAAGGTCCCGGGATCGAATACAGGTCACATTTTCGATGGAGGTGAAAATGCTTGAAGCCCGTGTGCTTAGACTTGCTTAGAAGGTTGTGGTGCTTCAACACTGCAAATACTCCTCAGCACAAGCACTTAAAGAGTGCATGGATGCTGCACTGAAAGCTACCACGGTGAGTTCAGTACTCGTGGTTTTTACATGCAAGGTTACAAAAATTCATTGTGATGAACCATCAAATTGAACAACTTTTCCTACCATTTTAAACAAAAAACAGTGTAAATGTATGGCATTGTCAAAAAAAGTAATAAGTATATGCATGTTCGTGAAAACCCTGTTATGATCTCTCGTTCCACTAATCAGGGGTGCAACAGCCAAAATAGAATTTGGAGCAATTTTCGGAGCAGCAAGTGTTACTTTCGGAGCATTAAAATTCAAATTTGGAGCAGGTTACGGGAAAAATAACAATTGTTTAATCATGAAAGACCCAATTTGGAGCAGTATAAAAAAAGGCTTACATTTAGAAAAAAAATACATGTACAAAACATTGCTTGATTGATTTGTGAGGTTTAACGTCCCAAAACCACCATATGATTATGAGAGATGCCGTAGTGGAGGGCTCTGGAAATTTCGACCACCTGGGGTTTTTTAACATGAACCCAAATCTGAGCACACGGGCCTACAGCATTTCCGCCTTCATCGGAAATGCAGCCGCTGCAGCTGGAATTTGATCCCGCAACCGGCGGATCAGCAGCCGAGTACCTTAGCCACTAGACCACCGTGGCGAGGCGTGTACAAAACATTCAACCACCTAAATCATGCAGAGTGAATATGGGCACTGCAATTTAAATAAAAGTATTCTGGAGTAGTCTTCTGAAAGCAAACAAAGAAGTCCACATGAGTATTTCCCGTGTCTGTCGAACCCTTTGATCGACTCTGAAAATTCAAATGTAGCTCTGCCAAGCTGGCGCCCTTGACATTCAGGATATTCGTAAAATCAAGGAGTAGGGGTGGCAACAAGTGGCGCACAGGTGTTTACGTGTTTCTTCTTTAGGGCAGCTGTAATGTCATTCGCTTTGCTGCTCCAAATAATTGCCAGTAACTTTTTTAGATGTCAGTGATCATACTAGCACTCAATTATGCGGCACATACACACGTAAGTAAGTGAACAAAATCTGCAGTATCCCGTTACTGGTGCAAATAGCCACTTCCAAATCATAATACACTTTTTTGCGAAACACCGCTGTACAGCGGGGAAGGTGGCTTAGCAGTGTTTTGCACCGTTTTGAACATGGTCAGCCAATTTTCGAACCGCTACACCCTCCCGTTCCCGAATGCTGCCCCCCCTCTTGTTTTCTTTAACTGTTTAGGGCACAACTTCTAGGCTCGCTTACACCGACAAGGCGCGTTCGACCAGATAAAGAAACAACGGCGCACGCCCATTGGCCCGATGACGGCACTGGATATCTATCGCCCCCACGTCGCAACTTCAAGCTGGAAAAATGTTTTTTGTGCCGTTGCTATGGTAACCAAAGTGGTGGCTGGCAATGACGATGTTCACAGCACATCTACCTTTTTCGCGCACAAAATCGGGCATACGCTCCTAGCACGCCATAACCTCGTTTGCTGACTAGTAAATTCGTATTTCCACGAAGAGTTGATCGCTATAGCAACGCTTTTTTTTTTGGCCTGAACTTCTGCAGTCACGCCTATAAAAATCCGTTGTAGTCAGCAGCATAACTTCATCTTATATTTTAGCTGGGCAATCGCATCGCACGAGCGTCCTCACCTAGCGAGTGCATAACTTACACCGTGAACTCATTGATTGATATGTGGGGCTCAATGTCCCAAAACCACCATTTCATTATGAGAGACATCGTAGTGAAGGGCTCGGGAAGTTTCAACCACCTGGTATTCTTTAACCTGCGCCCAAATCTGAGCACACGGGCTTACAGCATTTTAACCTCCATCGAAAATACAGTCACCGAAGCTGGGATTCGATCCCACGACCTGCGGGTCAGCAGCCGAGTACCTTAGCCACTAGACCACCGCGGTGCAGCATTACACCATGGCTTAGGATTAAGGCCTGCGCGCTTCGTTTGATTTCGTTTGATTGTCGACGCAAAATACAAGTGGTCAATGTGGCCTTCATTTCTCGCGGAAATTAGCGCGCCTGAGATAATTTTGATATTGGTCTGGTATTTTGGCGCAGCGCAGTGCAATTTCATCAAATTTCATGGTTTTGGCACAGCTCGACGCACAATAGGAAACTGTATCAAATTGGTGCGATTGGCACAGCTGTAGCACCCCTGACTATTGCAACAATAACATTTGGCTTATCTCCCAACATGCTAACACTCCCAACATCGCTAGATTCTTTATTCATGTTACTTGTACAAAATAAATGGGGTGCAAAGTAAAGTTGTAGGAATCACCAGGCAGACTCAGCTAATGCACAATTTCCACTGCTCTTCTAACAGGGTAAAAAATATAAGTTTAAACGACAGCTGGGTATGTCAATGTTGATAGAAAAGCCCTCTATGTTGAAAATTAGTAATGAGAAGTACTATTAATCGTATAACCTTGCTTGGTTAACTCTTTCACTACCGCGCCTATTCAAATCATTCAATTTGAACGATGCATTTCAAATTTGAATTCTCGCGCCGCTGTGCAGTTTACGGACGCCTAACGCCATCTAGGTTAGAAAGTGGGAAACACACGAAGGGACCTGCGATGTTTTGCTTGTTTTTTGCTACGGAGAAGTTTTCTCTCGATGCGATAAGTTTCTGGTTGCGGCGTGCGCGTAACGATCATGGCGTCGTCATCGCGCATAGACGCTCCCAAAAGACGACACGTTTCTCGCGAATCCAGCTAATCAACAGTCGATTTTGAGGATGTAATCAACAGCAGTGAGTCTAGAGAAGATGTTGACTCATCAGATTTTGGCACCGATGACGAGGATGCGTCAAGTCAAACCACAACGTCCGACAGGTGAGTGTTTGCTGTATGCGTGCCGCACACTTTGTTGACTAATCAGTGGTTACAAGTGGCGGAGCGTGTACTCATAGCAATTTTACTCATTTTCAGGGTCTCAACGTTTTACGGACACGATTCCTTGCCTGCATCTGTCAAGCGTGTACAGTTTCTGCCGAGACAAAACCCGGGGGTCGAAGACGGCGGCGCGCTCCGGAGTAATGCATGGCGCTTCGTCCGGGCGGTCGATTTCTTCCAGTTGTTTTTCACCACGCAGGCGATAAGCATGATCTGCAACTACACGAACAAATATGCGTGGATGCATATTTTAGAGAGGCAGACGTACGCGGAAAGAGACGGCTCGTGGAGGAACTTCAGTCCCGATGAAGTGATGAAGTGATGAAGTGCATTGCAATGCTCATTTACATGGGAATTGTTGAGTTGCCTCGCCTTCATCTGTATTGAAACACCTCCTAATTATTTTCTGGTCTCATTCCTCCGAAGATTATGCCAAGGAGCCGTTTCTTTGCGTTCCTTGCCTTTCTCAGTGTCATGGACCCGGAGCAGACAGACCCCGTCCGTGATGGCAGGCTGCACAGGATATCAAACCTACTGAAGCACATCAATGACGTCTCTTCGCAGCTTTTTCAGCCGTACCGCAACGTGTGTGTAGACGAGAGAATGGTAAAGTCGAAAGAAAGATCGGAAATCCGTCAGTATATGCGGGACAAGGGGGTCAAATGGGGGTACAAACTCTAGGTCCTCGCAGACTCAAGGACAGGCTACACTGTCCAATTCAGTGTTTACACCGGGAAGAGAGAGGCACCCAGCTCAAAGGGACTCGCACGTTGTAACGAGCCTCTGCGAGTCTTACTTAGATCAAGGATACATCATCTACTTCGATAACTTTTACACATCCACGTCTCTGTTTGTACACCTACTTGAGCGGAAAACTCTGTCTTGCGGAACAACACGCAAAGATCGCCGCTGATTCCCCTCCCAGCTGAAAGATACAACATGGGAGAAAAGAGCAGCTCGAGGAGACGTTCGCTGGATGCGATGCAGTGACGTGCTGTACTTGCAGTGGAAAGACAAGCGCATAGTAAACTTGATGAGCACAGCACACACAGCAAACAAACACGTCATAGCAACGCGAAAAGTGAAGAGGGCAGACAGATGGACCAAGATTCCCGTTAGGAAGCCGCTCTTGATAGAAGAGTACAACAAGGGCATGCTTGGTGTTGACAAGTCGGATCAACTCATTGCTTCCTACAACGTGTTGATGAAATGCGTGAGATGGTGGAAGACGCTGTTCTTTCACTGCATCGACATTGCCATCGTGAATAGTTTTATTCTTTTTGAGACACACCGGAGGGATCACCCTGAAATAGATGAGCTGTCAAGAAAAACTGGCTTTGACCAGCTCGCATTTAGAATTGAGCTGATCAACCAGATTCTGGGCACGGACGAAAGACATGCTCCCCCTCCTCCACCTCCAAAAAAGTTGGAACACAAGCCCCAGGTGCAAGAAAAACGCTGAAATTGCAAGCTCTGCTACGACAAACGAAAGACACAGATGAAAACAGCAGTTTTGTGTCAGCCATGCGGGTCTATCTTTGTTTCATCCCGAGGAGGGACTGCTTTCGAGAATGGCATGAGACGCACTCTCACTAACTTTCTTTTTTGTGGGAAAAACAGTTTTCCGCAATAATTTTTGAAACTTGAACAACCTTTTTGCAACATAACAAGCTACAAATTATATATCTTCAGTTTTTTTAACCTCATTATTTTTTAAGTTATACCCCTTTTTAAAGTGTTAAATGTATAAACACTGTATAAACTTTTCTATATAATTTTTTTTCATTATGTGTAATAAATATATGTACAACTATGTTATTGGACAGAACGTCCTTTTAGCTACATTTTGGTACCAAACAATTTAAATAAGGCATTAGTATCTAACCGTAAAGAAATTATTTTTCACACCTAGTAAAAACGGCCCCTTTTCCCGCGGTAGCGAAAAAGTTAAAATGCAGTTTTAAATACACAAATCTATATGAGGATTTCAAGAGGAATTGCAATTACTTTGTTATATCCACTACATTATTTCTGGCAACGTTATAATGAATGAGGTTCAAGTGTAAATTAAAATTTCACCCTTCTTTATATATATATATAGACAACTTAAATGAAAAGAGCAAAAATGGCCATCAAGGCATAATTTTGCACTGACCTAATCCTCCTATTTCTGCCTTCTTGGTGGGAAGATTTAGAACAGAAACATTATCCATTCAAACTTGGACACACTGACTAAAATAAAGGCAAAAGTGCCAATTTGAGAAGGGTCATTTTCACACATATTTTTTACAGAGTCCTTCTGCTTATTGCCAGCACCGAAGTAGACGAGGCAAACGAAGGGAACAGCTGCCACTGACACCACTACCTGTGCTTTGTAAAATTTCATTGAATCGACCATGACCATGGGAAATACAAAGCCTTTTTGTTGTGTACTACAAGCAATTGAACAATCTCCATGAATTGCTGTCCAAAGCAAAATGTCATCACCTTGCTAATAGGTCCAACAGATATGTCAAACACCAAAATGGCATTTGGTGGTACAGTGGTCCCCAAGCCCTTGGAGCCATAACCTTGTGAAGGAGGCACCACCAGGAACCGGCGAGAATTGTTTCTACATCCAACAAGGCCCTCCTCCAAACCCTATTGTGGCGGGGAAAAAAAACACACAAACGAAATTTTTTTTAAACAGAAGTATCCTACTTTGCACTAACTCATCAATCACCAACTACCAAAGCAACGCATTTAGTCCCAGAAAATGATGAAAAATTTATAGAAAATATGGCAACACTGTTAATACAGTTACACAAATGTTACCATTAGTTCCACAATAGCGGTAGGTCAGATATGTTTAATAATCTTGTGAGTTCAATATAAAACTTGAAAAGCTGAAGCATATTTTTTTAGCCTAATGTTTTCACTGGTGAAACAATGACTGTGTTTCATGGTGAATGCTTCTCTGGTCAGATGTTTTGGGTTGCATAATGAAACGATTTTGCTTCAGTTTGAGCGTGAAAAAAAAATGCTGTGCAGTCAAGAAGGGGAAAAAACAGACGACAGCGTGACACTGTCATCTGTTTTTTCCCCTTCTTTACTGTATAGCATCTTCACGCTTAAACCGAGCTGTGCTATAGCAATATCATTTTATCATGTACCAACTCGCCCACTAGGCCGTACTTGCATTGCATGTTCATGCAGTTAGCAAGGTTTTGCTATTTTTCTCACTTTGCAAAAGGTACAGTAAAACCTCGTCAATTCAAAGTCACTGGGACCACGAGAAATGGGACCATGAGAAATGAGTTTTTGCATTAACAGAACATACCAAAAGTGGGATGCAAGCAACTTGCAATTATTCGAAGTGATCAGGGATGACCATTTACTGTGCCAGCTAGTTTGCAGCTCCAAAGGTTATGTTTTCCTGCAATACCTGGTCTTAAGTTGGCCGAAACTAACATGAAGGAACGATGGGCCTCGCTGCTGCCACAAAAAAAGGGGGAGAGAGGGTAAAGGAAACATCGTCATGATCAACTAAATTGCGCCCCTGCAGAAAACAAGACATTCTTCACTGCAGCACAGTAAAGTACACTGTCGTTTTTTATGAAAGGAAACATGCGAACGCGTGGGCTGTGCTCTGCCGCAGCTGCCTACAGCACCATCAACTGATAAGTGAAGAAAGCACGTTCCATTTTTGCCTCATCTATGACCAAGCAACATAACGAGTTATGGCCAGTAGACAAGCGCTGCTAGATTACGTTCCCTGATCACTGGCGCGGCGAGTGATATCGGGCGATTACTGCAGCTTGCACCATGGTCGTGAACAAGGTTTGATATCTTGGCAGTAGACTACGCACTGCAGGCCCGAGCAGAAAGAGAGAGTGCAATCTAGCAGCGCTTGTACACCGGCCATAACTCGTTATTTTTTTCGGCAACGCATGATGCAGAAAGCGAAAGTGCTTCCTTTTGCTCTTGATTGATGCTGCTGTAGGCAGCCGCTGCAGAGCGCAGGCCATGCGTTCGCATGTTCCCTTTCATAAAGGATGACAGTGTACATTTTTTTTACAGTCCTAGAAAATATTGGTAAATCATAATGCGCTGACGTAGCGAGAAACGTGCAATGTGCTGCCTGCGCGCCACTTCTGTATTGCAGTGTAGCACATCTTGTTTTCTTCAGGCACACGCTTTGGTTGACCACAAAATTTTTTTTGTTTTGCTCAGCTGCTACTGATTAGTATAGCTACGTTGCATTGCCTTGTGGGTCTTAAGAGCAGTTGTTCCACGGATCTGCAGCAAAATCGGGGTTGGGAATCAGCACATGGCACCCAAAGTTTTCGAATTAGTTGGACTAATGCTGACCGCTCAAATTATCCGCTCAGACTTACATTGCAAAATACGGGACCTCTGAAATATTTCAAATGAGGTGGGATTTCATAATAACCGAGTTCGAATAAATGAGGTTAAGGCCAGGCCAGCCCTACTGCGATTTGTGAATGAGTACCCTAGTTTGAAAAAAAAAAAAACTTTTTTTACAGTCGAAGGGGACAGATGCAACAGGAAAGTGTGGAAGCATACATCGCACAGCTCTTGATTACCTCGAGTAGTAAACCTTGATTACCTTTTTCTTTATCTCATATCTCCCTAGTGGTCCTTCCTGCCCCTGCCGAGTGACTCCACCCAAATGCCTATGTGAATAACTTTGGCATAAGCTCCAGTCTGCACTGCTCATTGTGCACAGTTAATGGAGTGTGCCTCCCTTTAGGGAAACACTGAAGCAAAAAAATAACTTGGCAGGGGTTGACCCTTGTTGGGGCAACACATTCTCAGAGTTTTTAGCGTATAAAATTTTTATGAATGGCGACAGAAGTGAGCATTCGTGCATGTCTCACACAAAATTAAAACATCCTTTCTTGCTATGAGAGGAGGCTTTGTAGGCAAAAACAATGCACAAGTGGCAATGCGACCTTCCATTCAAATAATGCCATCAATAGTCAGTCTATACGGGCCTAGGCAATTTTTGATTTTAAGGATGTGTATATTGCTACAGGCATTGCGAGTGAATGGTGAAGGCCAAAAACGAGTACCATATATAGTAGACTCTCAGTAAACAGAAATCTGTTGAACAGAACTGTTGCCTAAATGGAACAAGTACTTCTGACAAGATTGGTTTCGTTCTCACATTTCACACCCCTGGTCACCTCTCAGTAAACAGAACTCTTGTTAAGGGGAGACACGGGTCTCAAAGGACAAAAAATTGCCAAAAAATCAATTTTTCGAAGTATTTTTAAAAAAATATATAGGGCCTGAAGAAGGTGTTCCTAACATGCTATTGCCATGTAACGCGTATTTGTCGAGTAATTCGGTCTCAAAGCCAGTTTCGTGACCATTTCTCCTCGCGAAATCACCTAAAAAACGGTCATAATTGACGACGCGGCGCCTGAGAACCGCACCAAATAGCGCAGTCATTTTGGTCTCATTTGAAAGCCGTATTCTTCTTTAGTCTGTTCCTAGCCGAAGAACGCTTTTGGTCTAGGAACAACGCAGCTATCGGAAATAAAGAAAAACCAAATAACCAAATACTCGCACATCATTGGTGCGTTTCTATCACGTGTGGCAGTTCGCGGTTCCCTATTGTATGTCAAAGCAATGCCTCCTCTATTTAGATGCCTGCCCCATGAGAAGAAAAACAGCTGCCACACCCTTTCCCTCCTTCATTTTAGAATGTTGTCTATCGCTAGCGTCACCTGTGGCGGACAGTGCAACAACACAACACTTTGCATAGCCTCCGAAATAGTGGTGTACAGTTGCAGGTCTCAAACAACTCTCGACTGACGCGCCCCTATGGGCCGCAGGTGAAAACGCTTAGCAGACGACACTCGCGCAGCGCGCAAAGAAAAAGCGCACAGTGTGCAGTTTCATTTGATAATTACTGTAGACAAACAAGCAAATAACTCGTATTATAACAAAATTGCATGCAAGAATGATAAATAATAAGTTTTAAAATTGTGGGAAGTATCTTACATCGTCTTTCAAACTGTTTTTGTCGTTTCGTGCGAGAAATCATGACAGCTAGCAGACGTACATTGCATTGCAGCGCGAGTGCTAGTTGGTGCGCAAGAAGATGGGTGCGCAGAAAAGTGCTGAAGTTGTTACACGGCTTGACTCATTACCTGTGCGTGTTAGTTTATGTTGCTGTTTGTGTTCATGAGCCATATTTCTAAACATTCATATAAAAATCATTGTTTTCGTTCTTCAAGGTGTTTATTGAATCTACCCAGTGTAACAACTAAAAAAAAAAAGGCACAAATACAATCACTTCAATGTTAATCTCAAAGCAACGTGTGCAGGCATTTCAAAAGGAAACCTTTTGTCAGTGATGCTGAAAATACCGACGCGGTCGCCCTGTTCTGCAAAAATATTTCAGTGCGTTTTTGGAAGTTTCATTGACTGTCGCTACATGTACTATTTCACCACTACCAAGTGCTTGCTGCTCACTGTATGCCATTGCTTTTCCAGAGACATTTAAGCAACCTTTAAAAAACGCGCCAATAAAATCGTGCAGAGCACAGCGCGTGCCTGAACGTTAGCAGCAGCCGATGCGGTGGGGTCCCGCGCGACGCCGTGATGATAGTGTTGGTAAACTTTTTCTCGTTTTCTCAAAACATTTTTTATCACGTCCGAGGCCATTGCCCACAGTATCTTTTGATCAAGAGGTTGGATTTTGATAATGTTTGCAGCATTTGAAAGCTTATACATTGATGAGTGCAACAAGACGAAAAAAATTATAAGTTTATTAAGAACAGTGATTTGACTAGTGATAATTAAGCAAGAGTTTCAGATTTCTGATTAGTCTACTTTTTAAGGCCATAACTCTGGTACCAATGAAGCTAAAAATAAAACTATGGTTTCCTTGCACTCCCTGTTCTTTACAAAACACTGGCATGTCTAATTTGCAGAATTATTTTATGAGAAAGCTGTCTAAACAGTGGGCAGAATGTAAGTTTATGGAACAGGTAATATTCTAAAATCTGAAAGTGAGAGCTGAAAACTAATTGAAAGTTTGTTTTCAGCTGTGAGAAATGCATATCACAAAGTTTTCAGCTCTAAATACTCAAAATTTAAAAAAAATTCAATACCAGTGTCTCCCCTTAAAATGGACACATTTTCTTTGTCCCTTCAGGTTCCGTATAATGAGAGTCTACTGTATTTATTTACAATGCTCTGTGGCACAGAATTGTTGACATTATCTTGTGTGGTATGCCCTCTTTCTTCTTTCATTGTAAGATTATCTCTGGCGGCATGCTCATCCACAGTGTCTCCCAACTTCTATTCTAATATTGTATTCTAAAAGGGCCAAGACAAAGCCTGGCAAGTTTTAAAATCTTTTATTGGAGCACAACGACCCTTATACAGGCTATACTTCAAAATCTGTGACATCAGACTGTGATACCAACCATTACACAGGTCTTAGCATAACCATGCAGCTTAAAATGGTCCTCAGGTGGTACCGTATTTACTCGATTCTACCATGCCCTCGATTGTAATGCGCACCCGATTTCCACGATGAAAAAAAAAAGTAACATCCATTGCACCGCGCACCCATTTTTCTCGCTGGCCCGCACGATCATACCACTCGAAAAAAGGACTCCTTACGGGAGCGTCTTCCATTTAAATATGAGGTACGGGGGAAGCTTGTGCCCACATTGACGTGTAACAGAGCATTGCCGTCACTGTAGTTTTACCGTGGACCGATGTCAGCACGCGAACTTGCTTCGCCCCCTCCTTCTCGACGGTTGTGGTGCCAGGCATGTCGAAGTAAACAGGCGTCTAATCGGCATTCCCGATTTGCCCAAGCAGGTAGCCGTTGTTGAGCCACAAGTTTAGGACAAACCTCTGAAAACTGTGAAACTTTTCATCGTACTCTTCCGCAAAACTTTTCGCATATGCCCGTTCACCTTCAGAGGGAAAAGCCTTTCCTCTTCATAAAGTTAGTTAGCCAGCACCTGCTCGCTTTGAACTGGCTCCGCGTTAGCCCTTTTTCTAAGGCTAACTGCATAGCCCGCACTTGGAGCAGTTCTGTCGTCACGGGCCGCTGCGCCGCTCGCTGCTCAAGCACATACTCGACGAGCAGCTCTTCAATTTGCAGAAACCGACCCTGCTGTGGTCCACTGAAGCCTTTGCGGGAATCTTTTCTGTCGACAATCTTCTGCTTTTGTTTCTGCCAGTCCCGCACGCACGTTTCGAGAACTCCAAACGACCGCGATGCGGCCCGATTGCCGTCCGTTTCTGCACACGCGATGACTTTTCTTTTAAAAGCGGCATCGTGGTGCACTCGAGTTTTTGGAGTCTGCCCTTCCATGCCGTCGATGCTAATGCACTACAAGATGACGAACTCCTCAGCACACGTACGAAGTGCCGCACATGGGAAACACGTAGGCAGAAATGGCCGACGCGCCATGCCGACGCACGTAGGGGCGGCCATTTTGGAAATGCCGATGGCAATAGAATGACCGTATTCATTTTTTTTTTTTTTTTCGTACTCGATTTTAACGCGCATGCAATTTATGAACTCGCTTAACCGGAAAAAAGGTGCACGTTAGATTCGAGTAATTACGGTAGTCAACATATTTACAGTGAAATTGCAAAGAATAGAGTTTTCACTGAGTAACTCTATAAATTTATCGTAGTGTTTTTTTTCTAACATTAAAGGCATCTCCTTGAGGGCACTTTCTTGTGCACACCACCATTTTCTTCTAATGTTTAGGCACTGACAATGGCACGTTGCAAGAAAAAAAATTGAATAAAAAATTGTAGAGCCAATACTTCACATTTCCAGCATGATTACTAACACACTAGTACCTCGTAAAGTTACCACCTGTTCGTCACATTTGCCAAAGCACTAGGTTGATGTAAGCTGAAATACGCAAGCTGTGCCGGAAAAAAGAAATAGCCCATGAAGTAGAAAAACAAAGAAGCTATTTTACCTTGACTTGTTTTCCCCTGCCAAGCTTGAGCTTCTGTGGCTCATCAATGTCAGTAGTGTCAAGAACCTGGAAACAAAGGCAAGTTCACTGATAACTCAAGGTGGTCACTTGTGCAGCACGTTCCACTGAAAGGCACTTGAACAAAGAGACAAAGGCAACTGATAGCTCAATGGTCAAAATGCGACACAAACCCCTATATCATCCCACGCAGCCCCTTATCGACTCAGCCCCTTAGTCAAACACACGCACGCATGTGCAGAGATTGATATGTGGGGCTAGCATCCCAAAGTCACCATATGATTATGAGAGATGCCATAGTGGAGGGCTCTGGAATTTTCGACCACCTGAGGTTCTTTCAACGTGCACCCAAATCTGAGCAGACGGGCCTGCAGCCTTTTCGCCTCCATCGAAAATGCAGCTGCCGCAGCTGGAATTTGATCCCACAACCTGTGGGCCAGCAGCCGAGTACTTCAGCCACTAGACCATCGCGGCGGGGCAATTTGCAGAGATAAGAAGCGCTCTGTGCCAAGACAATTTCGTGAAAAAGCATAGCTAGTGATAACAAAAACTAGGTTTTTGTGTGAATAAACTATCATAAAAATCACCCTAGGCTTTAGAAACAGGCTTTGTCAAAGTAGGAATGAAAGGCAACAGCATTTGTGAATAAGCCATAATAAAAATGATGTGCTTCTCCATACCTCCACTAGCACTCTGCATGTGCCTTTTTTTTAGACATACTACACCTAACTACACAACCACATTGTCCCACAAGCTACAAATATAAGACTGGTTCAAACTAACCAGAGTTACAAGAAATGCAAGGCAAACTCATACTGGCCATGTGTGTCTGGCATCTGCAGCATTTATATAAAGGTATGCTGCAACTCTAAATAATGGTGGCACTGTTTCTACGATTTCTATGTCAAGAATCAATGCCCTGAACAAAGGCATCTAAATGCTTCCTTCAGCTCTGGCAAAGTTCCTTGCTACCACTGCTTGGAGGTGACAGCTAAGACCTGTGCCACAAGCAAAGTGATGGCACAAATTTAATTGGAGCCCTGAGTGTTCAACAACTGTTTAGTCTCCCTCAAAAAAGAAGTATTAACAATCATTTTTTTATGCATGAAAATGTGTTTGCAAGTGTGATTGCTTTAAATAATTCACTAATATTTTTATGAGCCACTTGCAGCTTAGGCCATGCATGTGTCACGAAATACTGAAACACTGTCTTATTCTATTCTTGACATTGCAGAAGCTGCCGAATGTTCATATAAAAGGAAGAGGCCTCCAAAGCCCTCTTTCTTGCCAAGTTATCTTTTTAAATTAGTCGCATTACCCTACCTTGGCAAACCAGCTCATATGGCATGGGATGGCTTCCTGGACAATGTTTGTATTCATAGCATTTGTTCAGAGCAACATCCTGCTGAATAAGTAAGCCTGGTCGAACTTTGCCCCACGCAAAGCTCTGTGACAGTGGATGAGCGGCTAGCAGACTTTAGTGATTATGTCAAACTTGATCAAACAGCTATGCTTCACATGTAACGTGCCTGTCTTGAGCCTGACTGCTACACAATGCCAGCAGTTCCTCTACTATGTCAACATTACAACAGTGTTCATGGCTATTACTTGCACAACAAGCATACGGATGAGAAGGGACAAACGCCGTGAATTTGTTGCACAAGTAATAGCCATGAATCAGTACCAACTCGCCGAACTTTCAGTACATCAGTATTGATACAGTTACCCATTTATGACTACAGACCAATTTTAACAATGCATCGGTTATAACACAGAATCAGCTGCACTGACTACTTTGGCACCTTTCTAAGACAAAATGATCCGTTTACAATACCCTATGCCACATTATTGGTTACAGCGTTAGGCATTTTCGGCGTTCCTTTTCCTCTCCGAGAAAGCATTCATGCAGCTCATTGTAAAAGCTGCACATCTTTTTTATGCTCATTGTCATCTTTCATAATACTACAGATTATTTAATACCCTGCTCTCTTTTCACTGGGAATGTTTTCCAAGCTCGACAAGCAGTGGGTCAAACAGCCATTTTCTATTTCGCCAGCGAGCCAAGTGAGCTGACCAAAGCAAATGATCAAAACAACTTTTACACAATTGACAAATATAAGCCCTGTATTGCCCGGTTGTGAAGTAAACTGTATACTACAGAGATCATAAAGTAGCACCTACCAATATTTTACAGCCCAATTTCAATAAACCATATACAAACACAGACTGCTGAAATGGTTAAATCACAATATCAGCGGTGAAAGCAAACGAATCGTTCAAAAGGCACAATTCTTTGTTAGACACATTATAATGAAGCCGTAATGAAACATAATGTTGGACACAGCATAATGAAGTAATAAGTAACAGCTGCACCACATAAAAAGTAGTTTTTCATTCAAATAAAAAAAGCTCTTTTTTGCAGCAAAGATTTTGGTAAGATGAAAAATAATTACAACTTCCTAAATAAAAATATTCAAACAAAAAAATTAATTCAGCCTGCTACGGTATATAATTACGAGCTGTAGTCACTTCAAAGCTCGTGGAAGAGCTGAAATTGTGTCATGACTCGGGATCACATGCCAGAAATTCCTACAGTGCTCAAAAGCTTGAATAAATGAACTTTTTAATGTCCAAGCACAGTTCTACATCCCGGAAATCGGAAAACCTTGCTCAGTTTGACTTCTAGCCACAAAGAGTGTACTAAAGAAATCTAATAATACTTACATTAAATAGCAATTTATTGACTAATATGTGGGGTTTAACGTCCGAACACCACCATATGCTTACGAGAGACGCCGTAACGGAGAGCTCCAGATATTTCGGCCCACTGGGGTTCTTTAACGTGCACCTAAATATGAGCACAAGGGCCTACAGCATTTTTGCCTCCATCCAAAATGCCAGAACAGCAATTAATAAGCATTGATATGCTGAACTACCCAAAACTGAAAAGGCAGTCCAGAGTTTTAAAGTGCTGAAAATAGATTATGTGCTAAGTTTTTTCCATGCTTGAAGGGGCCCTGGACCAAAGCTCAAGCTTGACAAGAAAATGAATTCCATGAAGTAAAAATGATATGCGAACATCTCGAAATTTGTAGTTGCATGCACGACAACTACAAAAGCGCGGTGCAAAGTTGATTTCTCTCTAAACATCATTTTTTCAAACAAAGGCAGTAGGCAAGATCTGAGCAGCTATCCGCTGCCTACATCATTCCCATAAAAAGCTTTTGGTAGCCATTTGTGGTCAGGAAGCAGACAGGATGTCTGAAACAGTGCACTCATTCCAACTGTTACTGTGTACTGCACATAAATTGATACAGCTAGCTAAACAGGCTTTAGTAGTCAAATATCAGGTTTCGCCATTTTGATAAGAATTGCACACATTTTAGAGAATGCTGTAGACAGTGGGGGAAGCACCCTTTTTACCTTCCCTGCACTGCCCAACTCCTTTTGAACAAGCACGATGAGCACAGATGGGAAAGCTAAATGTTCCGCTAGTGACAGATCTGCTCAACCTAAGTCTTATTAACTAATTCTTCTGGCAATACATTTCTGAGAGGCAATTCTTATTTCAAAGCATTCTTAATGTTTCAAGAAAGTTTGCTTCAGTACCCTTTTGAATCAGAATTCCAGGGTATCGAAGTTAGCATAGCACATACACTGCGAAGTTACAGTGTTCAAACTCTGCCATTGGTTCAAGCAATCTCTTATTGGACGACAGACGTGGCACTGGGCTCACCTTTTTGAGGATGTGGTCACGCAGCACCCAAGCAGTGTACTTAATTACTGCGGTACTGCCAATTTTTAGAGCCTCACTCTCTCCATCACCAAGGATTAGGTCCTGGCTTATGGTGTTTTCAAGGTCGACAAGGCCAGCGCCATGACTTTCAGCTTTTGCTATGACAATCTGGAAAAGCAGCACACTGCAAATAAGTCTGAAGGTGAGGAATGCAAGGTGCGCATGTGCAGAGTCTCTTCAGAGGCAAGTACAGTAAAGAAACTAGAGCAGTTTAGTTCAATCTTGCATGCTCATAATGAAAGACAAGGTGCACGAAGGTCAGTTTAAGAGGAGATGCAATTCGAAAAAAAAGTTGCATAATGTGTTGACTAAGCGATTGATATTTTAATGGTATATATAGGCTTTCATGCTAATTTCAAATATGTAATTGGTTTTATAGTAAGTCGCACAGTTTTCCTTTTCTTCCATGACAACGTGTAAAGTACAGTTCGTTGTGGGCGAACTTTTTTTGTTCACTAAACCTTCTTCGTTCTGAGCCATTAATGGCTCACATTGCTCCCCTTTAACTGTAGAATGCAAATAAGTGTCAAGGAAGTGCTTATAAGAAAATTTAATAGACAAGAAAAATTGTGATATGAGAATTCTTAGAATCCTCAGCCCATACTATTTAGGTTTCTAATAATTACACAGCCGATATTAAGTCTTCGAGGAGACACTTGTCCCTTTCACATATTAAGGAATATGTGGGCAAAACTTCATTGCATTTGAGCTATCTAAAGTACTAAAAACATGATGTCTAAACTCAAGAAGTTGCCCAAATATGCATCTTGAAAAAAATGCACTTCAAAGATATAGGTGTAAGCTCATCTATGCAGGAAAAATATGTCTTTTAAGATGATTTTTTGCCATCATAAAAGCTTAACAAGCATGGTTCCTTTGAGCATGAGGCTTTAGTGAACTCCTTAGGCGAAATGCAATGTCACAGCCATGTGACAGTTTCCAGCAAACTCTAGACAATGAGCTATTTTTAGTTCTTAATAGACACCTAGTGCTTTTTAGAAGCAATTTCAACGTACTTCGAGTTTAATTACTATGTTCAGTTTTTTTTTTGTCATTGAAAGAGGAGAAACTAATCTTGTAAAAGCAAATAAAAACAAAAGATATGTAATTTCAGAAAAAACTTGCATTTCTTGAGTCATATCTCCCCTTAATATGGTCGTATATAGTAAGAAACTTTACTAGAAGTTGAAAAAAACCTACACTGGATGAACACTTGCCCAAAAGGGCAAGTAATGTTCAACCAAAATGACATCAGCAAGTATGATCTTCAGTGTTCAAATAAATCTCCTATTTATACGTACTCTGTCTAGCAGTGCATTCTGAAACAAGCATTCGTGCTTGTAAACACTTGAGAATGTACACTAGAGGTGCACACTAAACCTGACTGGACAGTCTTACACTGTAAAACTGGCTACAAATTACCTCCCTGATGGGCTGCAGCCGTTGCGTGTGCCGTTTAATTTGACGAGTCGAAGACATAGGCAAAGATGATTGTAGTTACCCTTTACTACCGGCTGACGATAGCAAGCTATGGCTGTCCGTCACATTTGGGAGGAACATTGCGCCGATATTCACCACCTTGCATGCGTAATCATGCACTGCCCAATTAAACTTTGCCACAGGATATCTTGGAACCCTGACATGCTAGAAGAATTCTTTATGGGGGGACACTGCCTTTGAAAACGAAAAAAATCACGAAAAAAATCGATTTTTGGGAAACAACATATTCAAGCCGTACGGGTCATAAACCACTTTTCCATATCAATGTCTAACTCTTCGCGAAACTGTTTGAAATAAAGTTTACAACGGGAGCGCTCAAAATAACCCCAACTTGGTGCGATCGCAGTTTCTAGACTGCTTGACGGAGCTCAGCCATTCTGGTGTTCTTTTGTTTGTGAATTCTTGCACTTTCTTTGCCTGCCACCAGCGCCGACAGCGGCAGGACAGGAGAGGAGAAAGCTGCTCATGATTGGAGGGCTCACGAGAGCTTTGAAGTTTCCCGCGGCAGAGATGTGCCGCCAGGATTGGGCAATGCGCGTGCTCAAGGACGAGAGGGACCCTGCAACTGCGATGGGCTGCTGCGCGCGATGACGTAGTACTCTTGCACATAATGTGGCTCTCAGTCATCTGCTGCTCTTCCGTTCCTGGCGTTTTCTAGGTGTTCCGCTCGGTTTCGTCTATCGTTGCAGCCGTTGGCATTCTCTTCATTTCAACTGTTTTTACAAAACGATTTTCAAATGTCATCCAAGAAGATTTTCAACCGTCTTTACGATACTGTTGTTTGCATTCGCTCACGATGAATCCAATGAAAAGGAGGACACAAGAAGTGTTTGGTGCAAGGAAGCGATCTATGAAGGTTGTCCACATGGCGAGGCTCTCCGCTCGCACGTGCACAGACGGTGATCGCGCCGACAGATCACGTAGAGCAGCTTCATCTACACAAGAGTGTGGTTGCATCAAGGCACATAGACACGAGACTCCTGCTCAGCCGGTGCAAAAATTTGACTTCCACATCCCCTCTTTCATCAGCCTCCAAGAGTGCGAACGCGTCGTCAACTGTGCACTTGCGAACACATTTTCTGACGTATGAAGAAAAAGAGGTGGCGGATCAATAACGCGCTGCTGTTCAAAGAGAACTTGGCGCTATGCCAGCGACGAAGCAGAAATTTCAGGTCATTCACTGGGCAGCCGAGAAAGATTCACTGCGCTTTAAAAAGGCTAAGAATAGATCCTTGGAGAAGACGGAAAGGCGGCGAAGGAAGAATGCCAAAGAACACCTCCAGTTATGCTGCAGGGTTATTTTAAATTTGCATGTGGCCAAAATTTTCAAATGTAGTTTTCTCAAAATGACTATTTTGGCTAGTGAGCATGCTTGTTCCAGCCATATCTAAGGGACCACTCATCCTATTTTCAAGTCTTTTTTATCATGTAGGTGAATCAATTTCTGAGGGGGAGACAAGTTTATTTTATCAACATATTGCATCTGCTATTTACATTACCTAATCAAATCTTCATTAATATTATTCCAATCACCAACACTAAATTTGATGATCTGCTAAAACTTTTGAGCAAGAAATTTTAAAAAAAGCTCTGTTACCCCTTGATCATTATTAATTTAACAGTTTCGGATCTATTGAAAGTTCTCCAGGTCTAGAATAAGAGAACCATGTGCACAGTTCTGACATACTGTTGTAACTAGAGAACCAGTGAACATAACTTCACGAAATTTTGTAGCAGTTCTAATGCTTTTGATATTAGTCTATCTTAAAAATTTTACTGAGATATCTCAATAAACAAGATAGTTGGTATCTGATGGTCCCCCTTTAACGTGCACCCAAATCTGAGCATGCAGGCCTCCATCATTTCCGCCGCCATCGAAAATGCGCAGCTAACTTTCACTCAGGACAGAAGGCTAACCATAGTGATAAAGCAGGTAAACAGGCATGCTACTTTCCAGCTTTGTAGGTAGTAAAAGATGTTTATGTTAATTGACAGCCTAGAATAAGCAACGCATATGATATTTATTACCTGCGGTTATGTGAATTGGGACACAAATATTCATTTAAATCATCAAAAACCCCTGCAATAAATTCAAATCCCCTCGCACTTTCCCCCCAACCTTTAGAATTGTCGCTTATGCTACCCTCAAAAAGCCTCTGCAAGCTGGCTTTGAACATAGTAGTATAAGCTTGTGAACGTATCTAACAAGGTCTTAAATTGCTATGCAGAAAGTCCCCCAATCTATATCTTTCTTACTGAACACTGTTGAAATTTCAGCTTGGTGGTTTACACTGAAGAATAAAAATGGCCCTGAATAAATGAAAACACAAGAGCAGCTGGCTATGCTGTGTGTTTTCCATTATCTCCTTTTATTAAGTGCCATTCTTCTTCTTCTCCCTGAAAATTAAGCAATACTCTTATGAGAAAAAACACTTTTAAATTGAGACAATACAAGAAAATGAGTAAAAATCTCCATTTCCAGACTGTGTATACTATTTTATTTTGAATACCCTCAAGGCAATTGAATACCCCTAAGGCAATTGACTCAAGGCAATTGACTTCACCATTAAAGCGACCCTGCAACACTTTTCAAGCATGGCCAGAAAACGCTGCTGATCAGTAGTTTGGGATAACGAGAACATGAGAGCCTAATATTGAAGTGCAACACGAGGCCTACAGCTTACAATAAATTCCCAAAGCCAGCTTGATATCACTTTCTCTTCTCTCGGAAAATGGTTCTATATACGCAAAAATCATTGTGCCATAGGCCCGAGTATCACGCCATTGGCTGATTTGGGCATGGTGCCCTCGGTAGTTACTGCGGGCACCGCGCATGTGCCATCGCACAAAAAAGTTGCATGTTTGAAAAAAAGTGCTCAAGGTCATGAGGCGCTCATGACGTACTTTTTTCCCCCATGCAATCCCTCCGTGCTTAGCTTTCAAGTGCTTTTGTCAAGACGAGTCAAGAAAGAATGCAATCGCAGCGAGCGATAACTCTTAGTGACTCCACTTTAGACGAATTCTAAAAATTTTTGTGGCAGTCCATTTTGAGGTAATAAGCTCCTTTAGCAAATCCACTCTATGGCTACATAGAAAACTGTGGCAAGGCCTCTTTCATCAACACTGACACATGGCCCCAGCATGGGCGAACATATTTAGGAAATTAACATTGCTAGACTTTCTAGGACAATAGTCCATTCTCACATCAAACTGGATTTAAATGTTCTGTATGCCCAAATTCAATCATACAGCTCCTCCAGCATTTGCAAAATGTGTATCCAACCTGCTTCACAAAATTGATAAATCCTGCTTCGCTGTCGAACTTCACAGACCAGTTGAAGCGCTTCTCATCCACAAAACTCAAGAAATTGTCACCCTGTACCTGTTAGCAGAAAAAAAAAACTTGAAATCAGTGTGGCACACGAAAAAACATAGAAGCAACAAATGCATGAAAGCTTCCCAAAGGATAAAACAGCAAGCTATGAAGTGAAAATTACATGCCATGATGAAAATAAATTCTTGTGGTTTAACGTCCCAAAACCAACATATGATTATGAGAGACGCCGCAGTGGAGGGCTCTGGAAATTTCGACCACTAGGGGTTATTAAACGTGCACTTAAATCCAAGCACATGGGCCTCAAGCACTTTCATCTCCACCAAGAATGCGGCCACCACGGCTGAGATTTGATCCCGCAGCCTGCGGGTCAGTAGCCGAGTGCCTTAGCCACTAGACCACCGTGGCAGGTTACATGCCATCAAGAAATATATAGTCATTCACTCTTACACAAAGACAGCTCACTACCTGAACACTACTTCTCATACGTTTTTATTGTAATCTAATAACGCATTAGGTAAACTTTGGAACCATAACAAAAAAAAAAATGTCTTGATTCATTCTTGTAGAGATAGCAGATTCATTTTAAAAAAATGGTTGTATAACAGTATCTGCCGAGTTGGATCAAGAATGCTATGTTGTGATTTCACATCAACTACATAAGGCATTCTTTCTATGTCAATTCTTTACTACCTAAATTTGCATGGAAAATTTGAGAATTCTTATTTAGCCATGTGTTGCCCTACATTAGCTTAATCTTACCCAGTGCGAGAGTCAAACACGAATGACAATAAAACTTCCAATCCTCACCCTGTGTACATTGGGAACGTTGCTAACAAACCTCCAGGTGGTAAAATGCACTTGTCGCCATTTTTTTTATTGTCATCCATATTGACTTTCAAGCTCTCGATCCAGCATTACGAATCTCCAATTCTCCTGCTCAGTCACGCTTCTAATTAACATTAGCAATCACATATATTAGTCGTATTATATTGGCAATAGGTTGGAATCTGTAAGCCGAAGCAAATAGTAATCCTCATGTTTTTTTTTTTTAAACAAGCAGCCACGCTTTCATATAAAATGTTTTTTTTTATTTTATCGAACACAGGTTCAGAAATTTATTTGCATGTGCCAGAACTTCCTTTACAATGTATGTATTTCTAGTACCAAATGTCTGCTGTCAGTTCTCACGACAAAGCTACAAATTCCACATCATGGCAGGAAATAACCTCTTGTTTTTCCCATTTCCAGAACACAAAGTTCCAAGCAAGTATGAATTCTTTTTGACTCTTTCACACAAAAAAAAATTCTGCCACAACTACTGAGCCTCCATAGGAATTTATAAGAATTTACTAACCACACACTTGAAATGCGGCCCAGAGCCAAAAAGTACACTGGAGCCCTGCTCGACTCTATGAAGACCGAATAACCAGGTATACAGCAGGGCAATAGTCCGCTGAAAAGAAAAGCTTAACTGAACTTACCTTAATGACAAACTGTGCATTAATCGCAGCAAGAGCCACCTGTTGCTGCTTCTCTCTGTATAAAATAAGCCTATACTGAAATGAAAAATCGAACGAAGGAGCAAGAATTAGCTTGGAAGCAATTGCTGCATAAGCATGATCTTCAAATAAAATAATGCAGATGTTGATGCCAGAGGATTTGTGCATAAAAGGAAGACCTAATGAAGAATTTGCAAAGCTAGGCAGCAAAGCAGTGCCACCACATGTAATCGAGGCATAACTTGTGCCTCTGAATACTGTTTTCAAGGAAATAACTGGCTGACATTCACAGGTCAACTGCTTGTCCGCTCTTTTTCAGTTCTCTAATAACAGTGCAACAATGTGTTTCATCGAGACGAGCATGCTGAGTGAGTCTCGCGTGGCAGCAACAATAAAATACGCTGGGCAGTGGCAACTCCTACGTATCTCAAACTAAAATGCTGATGAAACTCAAATCAAAGAAAAAAAGACCGACAAAGCAATACCAGTTGCCAAGGAGTGCCCAAATGTTCTGTAGAACACTGAATGTTAGGACATCAATAATAAGAAAAAAGTGGAACCAAATGTAGGCCTACACAAGAAAAAAGTGACAGCTGTCAAATTTACAAATAGCACTGCTTCATGTTTGGCGTGGATTGTCCACTGAAGGAGCACTGCAGCTTTTAGATACCCAGCCTCAGTTTCTAGACCAACCCATGCATCTAATACATAAAGTTAATGCTTTCATTAGCCTTCATTACTTTTAAACACTTCATTAAAAACTGGTTAGCACTGCCTTCTTATGCCTACGCAATACCTTAAAAATATGCTGCCATCGAAAAATCTGCACAAGCTGAAAGCGTCGATTTGAACACGTTTAAAGCAAGGAGATAAAAAGCATGCAGGTTTCAGTGGCAGAGAGTTTCCTGAAAAGACGGTATGTAAGATGCGGCACTTCTACAATGACAAAGGAATAGGCATCAAAATAAGATAGCAGTTGTGCTCCATCTACACAGGGCGACACACGGCTTTTAAAAAATGCTAATTGAGCAAATAAAAGCCATTACTTAGCAATGAGTGTCCAATAATGAACTGATGCTGAAAGGCATCTACAGGTTGTTCCAAGAAACGAAAATTGTAGAGAGGCAGCCGCGTACAAGTTTCGGTAGTCTCGCAGAAAGGGGTACTGATGTATGACATACAGGATAATTTATTGATGATCATCTGATAGAGCATAAATTAAATCTAAAAATAAATCTGATGGTCATTGTCTGCTGCTAAGAATGCAGCAGTGCTCCTATAATGATTGTACAGTTTTATCACAGTAAAGAGATAAGAATGCATGGGACCTCATACAGGCACAGCAATCAGTCAGAAAGGTCAAATCTCTGCAAGACTCCTTTATCAAACTTTGATAAAGAAACTGATTCTGTGGAATAGCAGTGTCAATTTTAAACACATGTCATGCTACTGCGTAAAGTAAATTAAAGCAGGTTTCCTAGACGAAATATTCTGCCTTTGTTTTCAGGTGACAAGATGTTTTCTGAACACACGGGGTTTCGTATTATCAAATGCTAACTTGCAACACAAGATTTTATAAGGGCTCTGTACTGTATCAGTGCAGGCCTAAATTAGCAGTAAAACAGTGTTGCGGCAGAACAAGAACATAAACCTAAGCATGTGGGGTGATATAATTAGGAACATCATATTTGAGGGCTCCGGAAGTTTCGAACATCTGCCGTCATTCACGCACACTAACGTCGCACAGCACACGGGCCTCTACCGATTTGCCTCCACTGTAAGAAATTGTAGCTGCCAGGATCAAATCTACGATGCTCGAGAAGTGGAGAAGCAAACACTTTAATACAATGGCAACATACTTTTGAAGGCCAGGGCATTGGGCGAGTTTGTATTGCATTGTAAATGGCATTTGCACCACATACTTGAGCTTATACAACTTACATCTGTTGTGTCATGGTTTCCTAGCACTGCAATACCTAATTTTCCTTGGTTGCTTGGCTTTTTTCCTTCACTGAAAATACAAACAAAACCATACAGTGTCATACACAACTTGGCCTAAACATGTTCATCAGTGGACTAAACATATACCTATGTTCAAATTAATTCAGCTAAAATGTACATGACAGCAGCCTTTGTATTGCTGCAAAAGCAATACTGAACTACCATTACAGAAGTTTAAAGACAACATTAATGATACTACACAACATGACCTTAATAGAACAATGTGAAAGTGCATATAAGATGCACAGAAATTGCATGAGTATGTGTAAACAGCAATGTAATAATACTGTAGTGGTTCTATGTCCCAAAAGAACAATATGATTACGAGAGATGCCATAGTGGAGGGAGCGGAAATTTTGACCAACTGGTGCTCTTTAATGTGGACCTAAACCTAAGCAGGCGGGCCTCTCTAGCATTTCACCTCTATTGAAATGCCAACCGTGACCGCCATAATTCGATGCTGAAATCTTTGGCTCAGCCGTCACACATCATAACCACGATACCAGACAGCAAATACATACAAAAACAGGTGTGTAGCGGTCCATTCAAAAACATGAAAGAGGAAATAATTACAACGGTTTCACGTGCCATAACCACATGGATTATGAGGCGCACTGCAGTGGGTGTCTCTGAATTATTTTCAAACACCCCGGGTTCTTTGATGTGCACCCAAATGTGTTCTTAGTGACACCAAACTTTGTCATAATTAACAACACTTGTATAAACTATAAGACATGTGCCAGAAATGATTATGTACATCGCATAAAATCCAGCTTTGCCTGTGCTAGTTCAAATGTTGCCTACATGATCAAATGTTCATATTGTAACAAACAATACATTGGCAAAACAGGACAGCCAGTAAACGTTAAACTGGCATCGCACGGCCACTGTGCAGAAATTACTACAAGCAGTGGCGCAGAATTTTAATGTAGCAGGTCACAACTTTGACAACCTGAAACTTTACATCCTTCAGTCACACTTACGGTCCCCAAAAGACCGAAAATATATAGATATAGAGTCATAACTTATTCACAAGTTTAATACACTGGAGCCAGCAGGTATAAACATTTCAAAAGGGGTTCTTGAGTACATGCGACACATCCAACGCAGACTCACCCAATTTGCCACAACAGCTTCTCACTGTCCCCCACCCCTTTTGCAGTTGCTCTCTCCTCCTCGTTAATTTTGGATTGGAGGGGAGGGCACTAAGCATACACAATAAAGCTGCTGCCTTGATGAAGAAACGTTGCCTCCAGCACCCACCCGATGTTTACAAATTTTTCGTGTTTCAAGTCCCCATTCCTGCTTCTCTTTACAATATGCTAAGGCATTTTAAGTTCAATTTTGGGGGTTATCTGCCACAAAGCTACCAATTATAGCATAAAAGTCAGATTATTTTTTCTGTGTTAGAAGTTTCTTGATGGTGCACTTTTCTAATCGTTGAATGGCTCAATTAAAAGAGCTTACTGGTTCATGAATGGGCTTCAAAATTTTTAAGATCCATCGATTGATTGATATATGGGGGTTAACGTCCCAAAACCACCATATGATTATGAGAGATGCCGTAGTGGAGGGCACCGGAAATTTCGACCACCTGGGGTTCTTTAACGTGGCAACATGGTTTTCGAAAGAAGTTCTCGTGCGAGACCCAATTGCTTTCATTAACCCACAAGCTACACTTAATTTTAGATCGCCGTTCATCTGCTGATTGTATCTTCCTCAACTTCTCCAAGGCTTTTGACAAAGTGTCTCACAAACTACTCCTTTACAAACTAAGCAAGTTAAATCTAGATCCTAAGTTGTTTGCATGGATTGAGTATTTCCTTTCTAATCGTTTCCAGTTCGTCACAGCCAATAACTATGACTCTTCACCCAGTTCTGTTCATTCCGGCGTTCCCCAGGGCTCTGTCTTGGGACCACTTTTGTTTTTGATATACATTAATGACCTACCTAGCTGTGTTCTCTCTAATATTCACTTATTTGCAGATGACTGTGTTATTTTTCGAGAAATTAACAACGATAACGACGTTACGGCACTGCAATCGGACATTAATGCAATTTCTAACTGGTGTGAGCAATGGTTAATGGAACTTAATACAACTAAATGCAAAGTTTTACGCATTTCAAGGACAGCCCTTTCGACGGGTTCCTATTACCTTAACAACACACTTCTTGAACCTGTGACGTCGTACCGATACCTGGGAATTCACATAACAACTGATCTTACCTGGTCGCTTCATACTAATACCGTTATTAATAAAGCTAATCGCCTGCTTGGCTACCTTCGCCGCAACTTCTTTTCTGCACCTACCTCTTTAAAAACACTTTTGTATAAATCATTGGTTCGTTCTAAACTCGAATATGCATCATCCATTTGGGACCCGAGCCATGACTATCTGGTGACATCACTTGAGCTCGTGCAGAACAACGCAGCACGTTTCATTCTCGGTAATTTCACTCGTGCGGCAAGTGTCACGTCCATGAAAAACTTGCTTCAATTACCCACTCTAACTTCGCGCCGCAAACACTCTCGCCTCTGTCTCTTTCACAAAATTTACTACCATAATTCGCCCCTATTCAGTGAGTTAATTACTCCTCCTTCATATATTTCTTCTCGTATGGATCACCGACACAAAGTAGGAACAATACCATGCAACACCAATGCCTTCTTTCAGTCATTTATTCCTCGGACGTCACAAGATTGGAACCGCCTTCCCGGACTGACCGCCGCAATCGAAGACAACCATCAGTTTCGTGCAGCACTAGCTAACATTGTATGATTAGGGCCCATGTATGTTTGTACTTATCTGCTTACTACTTTTGTTGCTGCTTTTAGTTTTTTGTATAACCTTGTAACCCACTCCCCTCTGAAATGCCTGTAGGCCTTGAGGGTACAAATAAATAAATAAATAAATAAATAAATAAAACGTGAACCCAAATCTGAGCAAACGGGTCTACAACATTTCCGCCTCCATCGGAAATGCAGCTGCCGCAGCCGGGATTCGATCCCGCAACCTGCGAGTCAGCAGCCGGGTACCTTGGCCACTAGACCACAGCGGCGGGGCTAACATACACAAGGAGGATGCATTGCTGTGTGTGCAGCGGTGAATGCAGCCCCTAGGACATACACTGTAGCCTTTTTCTGCGATCGTTATGAGGCACGGGTATGCCGCCACATTCTAGTGTCCCCTATGCCTATGCAAATTCCAGTGGCACTTCTACCAATTTGGGTTTCAGAGCGATCTTCAGGGCAGAAAAAATGCCATTTAGGAGCATATTTTGAAGCAGAAATAATAAGAATTTAGAATAGTTTTCGAGTATACAAACTGTGTTCGACATCACTTGTAGCACTGCAACAGTAAGTGCACAACTATGTTGTGCAGATTATCCTCCCTGTGCGAAAAAGAAATGCTACTCCAATGTACACCGAGAAAGAGTGCGAACAGATAGATAACAGTATAGAATTCCACGAGTTGACCTCACAGCTATTACAACAAGTGTATTTTGGGGAGGAATTAGCGACAAAGGCTAACATGGCATGTACAGTTTCTACATTCAACAAAACTCTGTATATACAACTTTTTGAGCATTTCATTTCCAGCTCGATGGTTGGAAAATTTAGAAAGAATTAAGAAAAGAGACAGGGAAGCTCTTTTGTAGGCCTTTCCTTTGTTTCAAGCATTGTGCCACAAATAACATGTTAAGGTAACAGAGGCACCAACTTTCTAAGCAACTAGTTTTTCTAGAGTCTGTATATGTATGTTTTAATCAGAAAAAGTGCATTGGTGAAAAGTGAGAGAGGGAGGCATTCTAACACAATTTCAAAAAGCTCGCATAGTACTTCTAGCTAGGCTAAAAACATTTTGGGTGAAAAATGCTTAGTTGCTGTATGAAAGGACAACACTGAACTTCAGCACAGTTGGCACGACTTATATTGGACTCTGAACAGCGAGGTTCAAATAAGTGGGATTGTAGCGAAATGGCACAAATGGCTCAATTGAACCACCACTGCAGCGTGCTTGTTCCTTTAACAAGGTGTTGGCAAAATCTAAAGAGTTTAATGAAATATGAAACTGCCTAGAATTTGACAATTCATAAAAAAGTTGTGAAGTGACAGCACTGCTTGGTGTGTGAGAGTGTAATATGAAGTTGTAGCACCTGTCAGAGACAGCTGAAAGGCAGAAGCAGCATCGTTTTACTACCAAAAAAATAAGTGCTGTCCCTTTGCCCGCAACCAGTACATGGCAACTACGATGCTAGTCAATGCTGCACCTCTCAATCAAACTGCTTAGTACACTGCTACGAAAGAGCTGAATATTGAAAGCAACTTAATGTGAAGTAAGCAATGAAAATGCAAGTTCCGGAAAATTCCAATAGCACGATTACATTGCCATGAGAAGTTTTCAAAGAAGAAATACAATTTTAACCCTTAAATGCACAAATTGGGTGAACATGCCAAAATTTTAGAATAAGGTAACGTACTGTGTACTATGTGAGAACGAAGAAAGAAAAACAGAATGAGGGCATGTTTCTTTGTTAGACAAAATCTAATGAAGACAACAGACAATGAAGCCAAGGAACGTGTAGGGGACATTATTTGTAATTTTTAACTGTACTGCAATAATGACATAAATGAACAAAAAATTAAAGAGGGAAAAACAAGCAGTTTTGTAGCCGGTAGGGGCCAAACAGACAACTTCAAACTACACATCTGACGCTCTACCAATTGAACTACGCTGGCAGCCATTTCCCCAACAACTTTACTGAGTATTTCTTCAAGTGCGATCCTAGGAGTGTTAGCCAGTGTAACTCATGGCCATAGCGGTGATTGTAGAACCATATTTTTCGCTAGCGTGGTCCTTCATGGAAGGGAACGCACACACACACAACCTGTGTTCTGTTGTGGCTGCTGAGGGTGCCGGAAAGTAATAGTAAAAGAGAGCACGTCCTAGAGTATTTGTTGGCAAGCAGAAAAAGCAGGCATGGTCACTTAGCAAGCATCTGCTAGGTTTCATCCCACAGCAAGATCGTTTTCCTGGCTGTCAATAGCCAAAGGCAGATATGTGCTTTTGCTTGCTGGTGAAGTAATCAGCAAGATCAGAGCCCAGGTCACATGCTCGTGTATTTTCCCCTTCATACGACCACACTGTAAAGATGACATTCAAACTTGCCTGCCGTGCATCACCTGCACGAAATCTAACAGACCTCCTCACACAAAGTTCAAGCAAAAGGCATTCATAAAGAAAAGACACCGGCTCCATGAGCACAGTGGAATAACATCCCAAGGACACCATGTCGTGGCTTAGTCATCGCATAAGTTTAATGCTGCTTTGCTCAAAGTATGATTAAAAATTCAACATCCGTGCACTTTGGTAGAAAAGCATTTGGAGCCAAGATAACAATGGCGTGATGCCTGATGCAACAAAAATGCTACCATTTTTGTTACACCACTGAAAATTTCCAGAGTGAAAGAAGTATTACAAATTTACATAGACATTCTGAGGTCAGAAAAATGTACTCAACCGCAAGTCTGTATATGTCATGCCCGATATTCTTCATTCCCTGACCTTGGAAAGTGACCGCATAATGCAGTTTAACACATAATGAAGCACAGTATCATATCATGTGCTGGAGCCAAAGTAGCTTTCAATAAAAGTGTAGGCATGCAAATTGATTCACTGATGGTCTGTAATCATGTAAACAATGCAGAGAAGCAGCTGCACATCCTGTGGCACTTGCATTTTGGCAGACCACTGTGCCCAACTGCCAAAAATTGAGAAGTAAACAGCACAAAAAACAGACAGAGAAAAAGGACACAAGATGAGTGCTGTCCTTTTTTTCTTGATAAAAACAGTGAGTTTAATGTGCAGTATGTACAGGCAGTAAAGAGCCCTGCCGCGATGGTCTGGTGGCTAAGGCACTCTGCTGCTGACCCGCAGATCGCGGGATCGAATCCCGGCTGTGACGGCTGCATTATTACTGGCAAATAGACATTATCTAAAGTCTCAAGAGTCAAAACCATGATACGTTGATGAAAGACTAGGTAGTGGAGGGCTCCAGAAATTTTGACCATCTGGTGTTACTTAACGTGCACTGACATCACACAGCATACACAAGCCTCCAGCATTTACCCTGCACGAAAATGTTGTAGGGGTGTGACTGACATGCGTTATATATTTATTTCCAACAGAGTTATGCAGTCACAACGAAAACAAGCGGGCAACGCCCTCATACATTGTAGTGTAACATACGCCTCAAACGAAAGCAAGAACAAGTGAGTGAAAGGTCGTAGACAGCACCATAAGCGAACAAGGCAATGAATGGGTCGTAATAATTATTAGTATCATAAAAACATGTCCTTACACTGGCGTAAATAACTGATAATCGAATCAACACGGTAGTTAACGATGGTGCCATACGCTCGGCACTCGCACCAAAATCTAAAATAATTACCCAGTGAATTTCAAAAACGCCCTAGCTTCATCCAGTTCACTAAGTACGTGCGTGCATTGGCGCGAGCATAATTAACAGTTACGTTCGATGATGTCTATACACACCGTACATTGCAACAGTGAAAGCAGCGTCAGTCAAAACGTCACCCAAAACATAATCGACTTACTACTTGAATGCCTGTACAGCAGCAGCACATAGTAGCGATAAGACGCCGGACGAGGCCGATTGTTTATCTGCAAGGCGAACAGAAGCAGATACAATGACGCGGTCAATGCAGATGGTGTGTGGTGAGTATTACACGAAATAAGGCAAAATTCAACTCACCAGCACTTTTGCCGACGGATGGTTGCCTCGGAGGTGTATACGTTAGTGAACTGTTACCAGTTTTCGCAGTGTCATTCTCAGAAAATAAATTTGCAAGTTTCGAGCTGCAAGAAAACAGAACAAACAAGCTTTTTATTGCTATCGGGACACCTTCAGCGAGTCACTTTTCCTACAGTGAGAGTGTTGTAGTTTACACACGGGCGTAACCCGAAGTAGTTCGTTCTGTACTGTTTTTTACATTTTTTTTTTCAAGTGAAGTCAAGTTTATTACATATTTCACATTCGGTTACATGGTTGGAATAGTACAGGAGGAGGTCCCAAAGTTTCATAGAAACTGACGGGGGGACCTCCTGTGGCGACATGAATGAGGTAATTACAAAAAAGTGCAGCAAAAAGTGCCAATTTGTCAGCAATGACTAATGAGCTGAATTAACAGTGACAATACAATTATTACATAACGTGATGTTAATACTACTAATAAAATTAGACATAAAAATTCGATAGAAACAACGCACCTTCCCGGTTGTACTGCGAAATCGGCATCATCGTCGTCGTTAGTAAAGTGCATGGCTATTATTCATAACGCATGCAACTCGGCAGTGTAACAACTTCGAACAATCGTCGAGCTCCTCGGAGGTAACCACCCCTCCGTTGTAGTATCGAACTGACTGTCAACAAGCGGCCGCCGTGAAGGCAGAGACCAACGCCTCCTAGAATTCTTGTGCCTGCCGGATTATCGGCGGTCACTTGGGAAGCGTCGGCCGTCGGAACTACGGTGGTGGCGCTGCTCAAGTAGGGGCAGTTCAGTTCAGGCTGTCAAGGTGGATGGACGTGTTTTTTGAGCGCTCCGGATCGACTGCGCAGATAAGTGTTGTTGCATGTTTTGAGCTTGTCTCTATAATTATAAGGCAGTGGTTGAAATCTTCGTAGCACTTATTTTATGGTACGGCTTTTTCGGGGGCCAGTCACCAGGTATTTATTAGTTAGTACGGGTGTGTGTGTTTGAATTTTTTTGTTGTTGTTGTTTTTTGCCACCCCGTTGGGGAGGTGCACGTACATTGAACACGCAAATTTTTGTAGTAGAGCTTGGACTTTCTTTTTTTTTCGTAGTGCAGGGCTCGAGTTTAGTAATTGTCGAGTATAGGGACAATTGGTGTCAGAAAGGCATGGTTAAAAAGACTGTAAAGTGTTCAGGATGTGGAGTGGGTTGAAAGTGGACCCAAGCGTAGAAGCGGATGGAGAAGAGGCTGACGCGAAGTGTAGGCAATGTGAGGTCGAGAAAAAAAATGGAGAAAATGATGATTGCCCAGAGTGAACTGCTGATGAGAATCGCCAAACTCGAGACTGCGTTGGCGACAGAGCAAGAAAAAACGAGGGCAATAGGAGAAAGACTGAAGTCCGCCGAGGAAGTGCTAGCGAAGCTGAACAAAGAAGCTACCTACCGAGAGAACAGTAGGGAACCGGCAACCAGAAAGGTGAAGAAGGAAAAGCAAGCAAGCTTGGAAAAAACAGGTTTAGCCGGTTCAACTGTCGCAAGGCCCAGCTTCAGCGAGGTAGTGGTGGGGCAGGAAGGGAACAAAAGAGCCGGCGTCACAGGTGCAAGTAGCCCCCAGGTGCAGAACGCTCCAGCGGAAAAGTCACAGCATGTGATAATCGCCGGGGACTCAAATTTAAATCGATGCACAGAAGCCATCAAAGAGAGGGTAAGAGGTGACAAGAGGGTTGCAGTAGGGGCGTTCCCAGGACGCAAGCTGGAAGCAGTCATGAAGCAAGCGAGCGCAAAGCTCAAAACGACAGCTGATAGACGCAACCTCGTGATAATTTCAGGCGGTTTAAACGATGTCCTAAATGAAGATGCAGCAGGACTAGCAGCCACACTGGCGAAAGGCGTCGATGACATGCGCGCCACTTCTCCTAAGGTGCAGGTAGTGATATGCACGATACCGGAGGTACCGGTGCGTGATAGCAACCTGCAAAGAGCGGTGGTCAACGCAAACCAAGAGATATGGCGGATGAGTCGAGAGAAAGGCTTTGAGGTGGTGGAAATAAACAGAGAGGTGCATATGTGGGGGGGGGGGGGGGGGGGGGGTTTCAACGAGACAGAATTCACTTCGATGGGCGGCTAGGTCATGAGGTGGGTTGGCGACTTGCAGGACGCGCAGTAGCTTTTTTGGGGGGCAAGCGAGCCCTTCGGGGTGCAGGATAGCTAGTAACGAAAAAAACAACCAGGGAGACTCTTCGACAGGTGGTATGAACAGATACGATTCCAAAGTGGCACCAATATCTAAGATACGTAGAGTCCGGGGCATAAATAGATAGCCACGAGCGCCGAGCCAATTCAGACATAGGGTATATTAACATGCAGGGTGGTAGGAACAGGCTGAAGTGGGAAGAGATAGAAGAACAGCTAAGGGAAGAGAGGCCGATGGTATACGGTTTTGTAGAAACACATCTCAGGGACATGGAACAACCTCCGAACAATCCGGACTACGCGTGGGAGTATTGTAATAGAACAGAAGGCAGCAGAAAGGGAGGTGGTATTGGGGCATTCATTCATAAAAGTACAGACTGGCAAAGGGTCAAGCAGGAGTGCAAGGAACATTTATGGCTAAAAGGGAAAGTGGCTGGTCAAATGACACTCCTGGGTTTCGTGTACTTGTGGACGGGAGCAAAGGCCAGAGAGGAAAACCAGGCAATGGTAGAGTGTATACCAAAGGACATTCAGGAGTTAGGAAGAGAGTGCGAGATAATTATACTAGGAGACATGAATGCGCACATAGAAGATATAGATGGGTATACCGACCCGACAGGCAAAATGATCATGGATATGTGTGAAAGGCTTGATTTGATCATTTGCAACAGTACCGAGAAGTGTGAAGGGCAAATAACATGGGAGGTAGGAAGGCTTCAGTCGACGATAGATAATGCACTCATGTCACATAGGATGTATGATAAGCTCAGGGAAATGCACATAGATGAAGGTGGCTCCAGAAGTCTGGGTAGCGATCACAAACGTATCAAGCTAAGTTTTGGAAGAGCAGTGAAAGTGGGAAGGAGACAAGATGAGCAACTACAGGAAAATTTTTATCCAGAAAGGCAAATTTAAATAGCCACTAAACAAATTGAGAAAGTAATCACGGAGGATAATAAGACAGTGTGGACATACACGAATCTAATTAGACTCTTTGAGATAGAGCTTGCTAAGACGCGTGACAAGTCACCCTGGAAAAGAAGACACAAACCCAAAAGTTGGTGGGATGAGGAAGTTAAGAGAGCCATAGCAAAACGTCAGGAAGCCTCTAGGGAACACAGACATGCTAAGCAGCGGGGTGAACCGACAGATGATGTGGAAAGAAAATGGGCAACCTTTCTAAGCTGTAGAAGGGATGCATCCCTTCTGATCAATGAAAAGATTAGAAGGAAGGGAGCTCAGTGGCTGGCAAAAGTACATAAAAAAGATAGAAAGGCAGCTGCGAAATTTTGGAACCATCTAAACTCCCTAAGAAATGATACGAGCCTAGAGCAGAACTTTATAACTACAGCCCAAGGGGCTAGGCTAGAAGGGGACGAAGCTATTGAATATATAAGAACAAGGGTGGCAGAAAAATTTCAACAAAGAAGTACTTTATGCACCACAATAGACAAAGACGAATCAAGTGGTGCAATGGCTCCATTTTCACAACAAGAGTGGGAAAGGGCTGAGAAAAGGGTTCCTAGTAGTACATCAACAGGCCCAGATGGCATTTCAATTAGGCTGATAAAAACATTAGGTCCGAAGTCTAAGCAGGCTTTGAGAGAGGCAGTGAGTACAATAATAATCGATGGCGAAGTTCCCGATGGATGGAAACTTAGCAGGATGAGCATGATCTATAAAGGAAAGGGGGACAAAGCTGACATAAACAACTACCGTCCTATAACAGTGACATCAGTGGTCTACAGGCTGGCGATGCAGATTATAAAGGAAAGACTGCAGGCAGGGATAGAGGAATAGAAGGGCTGGGGTAACTGCAGAATGGGTTTCGGAAACACAAGAGGTTGAAAGATAAGCTGTTTTCACTGACGGAGTGCATCGAAATAACATAAAAGGAACTCAGGCCCCTGTGCCTAGCATTTTTGGATATCAAGGGAGCGTACGATAGCGTGGTTCAAGAGGAATTGTGGGGAATACTGGACACACTAGGCGTGGAACGTGTAGTCACTAATCTTTTAAAGGGTGTCTATAAAGGTAACAAGGTAGTTATAAAGTGGAAAAACAGGTATCCAAGCCTGCAGAGGTAAAACGGGGGCTTAGGCAGGGGTGCCCCCTGTCACCCTTATTATTCATGATGTACCTACAAGGATTAGAGGCAAAATTAGAGGGAAGTGGACTGGGCTTCAACCTCTCTTTGGTCAAACAAGGAAAACTTATTGATCAGGCACTACCAGCATTAATGTACGCAGATGATATAGTGCTAATGGCCAACAACAAGGAAGATTTGCAGAGATTGATGGACATCTGCGGTATTGAGGGAGATAGGTTAGATTTTAGATTCAGAAGGGAAAAATCAGCAGTCATGATTTTCAATGACAACGAAGGTAGTGAGCTTAGAATACAGGAGGTCACGCTAGAGATAACAGATAAATACAAATATCTGGGCGTATGGATAAGCAATGGGACCGAGTATCTGAGGGAACACGAAATATACGTGACGACTAAAGGTAACAGGAATGCAGCAGTCATGAAAAATAGGGCACTGTGGAATTACAATAGGTATGATGTTGTGAGAGGAATATGGAAAGGGGTCATGGTTCCTGGGCTGACGTTCAGCAATGCGGTCTTGTGCATGAGATCAGAAGTTCAAGCAAGATTAGAAATTAAGCAACGTGGAATAGGTAGGCCTGCTTTAGGAGCTCACGGGAATACACCAAATCAGGGAGTACAAGGTGATATGGGATGGACTTCATTTGAGGGCAGGGAAGCTAGCAGCAAGATAAAATTTGAGAAGCGATTGAGAGAAATGGGGGTAGAGCGTTGGGCTAGGAAGGTTTTCAGCTACTTGTACATGAAGAATGTCGATACAAAATGGAGGAAGCGAACCAGGAAGTTGACTGGTAAATACTTAGAAAACAGCAGGTGGCCAAACCAAAAAGAACTATCGGTTAAGAAAAAAGTGAAGGAAACGGAGACTAACATGTGGAGAATGGGCATGATTAAGAAGTCCGCACTAGAGATCTATCGAACTTTTAAGCAGGAAATTGCCAAGGAAAGGATCTATGATAATACTCGGGGTAGTTCTCTACTGTTTGAGGCCAGGACGGGAGTACTGCGAACCAAGACATATCGGGCCAAATACGAAGGGGTCGACACAGTATGCAGTGCGTGTGGAGAGGCAGAAGAAACTGCCGAACACTTGATAATGTTCTGTAAAGGGCTTCACCCTATAGTTCAGGATGATGGCGCAGAGTTTTTCAAAGCACTGGGATTTAGGGACAGCGAGGGCAAAATAGACTTCAAGCGGGTAGACTCAACTAGAAGAAGGTTATCTGATTGGTGGCTAAAGTCAAGGCACGAGTGAAAATTAAACCCTTCACTGCGAAGTATGAATCCTCAACTTCATTATTTAAAGGGAAAAAAAAGATAAATGTAATGGTTAGTTCACTAAGTATTACGGCTAGGTAGCGTTAGCCGCCGCCCGATCTAAAGGGTACAGCCACATCCATCCATCCATTTATCCATGTCTTCAAATAAGTTTTGGCAGCGT